CATTAAAAGAACAAAGTTTTACAATTAGCTCCATGTGTGAAAAAATATATTGACGACAATCTGTAAACTTAATATCACTGTCAATAGCAGATGAGGCCAAGATTAAAGTATCAACATAAGGATATCACCTAACCATTAATATATTCCTCTGTTCTATCAACTGAGATACCATGTATCCAGGGTCTATAACCTCTGCAACTTTTAGAAACAAGAATGAAAGATAAAATCCTATCAGCAGTAGAAATCATACAGATAACACTACAACAAACTGACACAAATGGACGGATATTAATTAATACAAATATAAAATTTGTCACTTAGCTAATTGGTGTTATATTCAGCACTTCAACTCAGGAGTTTTGTTCAGTTCATTCATCAGTTCATTCATCAAGAGATTTCAGCAACACATACAAATACATACATACATACATACAATAACATAAATTATGTTTTACCAAATTTTACAATCAAGTTCCTTGAGTGGATGTAATCTCTGCACAACTTGGAGCAAAGACAGGTGAAAATTTAATTTTCTTTATCACTCTCTTTCTCTCTCTTATATACATATATATTTTTATTACGTCATATGTTATTTTTAATGGATAACCATATTTGAGTAGATGCCTGTTTTTGTTTTTAAAACCGTGTTTATTTCATCTACCAATCTGCACACTCAAGGAAACTTAATAAAGAAAATGTACCCTCCAGCAGGATTTGAACTTGTATCAACTTTACAGGAAAAACCACTGTGTGATCTGGCATGTTTTGACAGCTTGACTATAGAAAGCTTCCTAATCAAGCAAGGTTTTATTTGCCTTCAAATACATTCATGCATTCTGATTTTCATGAAATTTAGTTTCATATCCAAAATGTAAACAAATCAATTTCTAAAGAATTAATCAATTTTAATTTTTTAATCCAATATATTACTTCAAATGTTATTTTTAGTGGATTTGAGTAACACTCTTTTTTCTTTTTTGGTATATTTTTTTTAAACTGTTTATTTTGCCAATTGGCCAGTTGTGGTTCCTCCTACAAATTGGTGGTTCAGGTTCAAATTCTGCTGGAGGGTAGATTTTTTTAATTTATAAGGTTTTCTCAAGTGTGCAGACTGATAACCAAAATAAACACTGTATAAAAAAAAACAAAAAATCACAAATGTCTACTAAAATATGGGTATCTACTAAAAATAACATTTAAAGCAATAAAAATATGAAAACCATTCATATATGTATATGTGTGTGTGTGGAGATAATGAGATAAAGTGAAAAAGCTTTTCAACTACACATTTGCCCCTTATGGTACATGGCTTCAGAGCAAAATTAGAGAAAACCTGTGTGTTTAAATATGGTGAAGAGATTATAAACATTTTTAATATATTCTTCAACTAAAATATTTTTGACTGTGTGTGTGTGTGTGTGTGTGTGTGTACTGAAGCCATTAGCACCTAAGGGATTTTGAATTTAGCCCACTCTGAGTAGATCTGTTTTTTTTTTTCTCTTAGTTTGCATGCTGCATTGTGCTTACATATATATATATATATATATATCTGACAAAGTCAAAAACTTTTTGTGTTATGCATTCCATCATTTAGGGCTTCATTGGACAGAGTTTGTTTATGTTGGTGTGATTGCACATGTGCACAAATGAAAGGTTGTGGGAATTCCAATTTGAAATTATTTTTCATTATTTTTTTTTTCCAATCAATTTTGTTATTGGATATCCCACACTATCATAATACAAGATCTGCCAGTTCTGCTGAAATGTTTTAAGAGCCTTGGCACAAGTCATAAATTCAGTCCATACATCTTCCTTCCAAAACTGTCTTTGATATATAAAAATGTGTGTGTATGTGTGTATGTAAATGATACAGAGCAGCAATTTTTTTTGCCTATGACTTGGTACAGCCCAAGTGATTGTGTTTTTTTAATGCTTGACTCCTGCATTATTCCAAAGAGATTTCCAGAAAGTCTATCATAAAAATAAAGATTACATTTTTAAATAAATAGAGACAGGTGTGAATTAGTTCAAAGCAACAATTAGTTTTAAAATAAAAATTATATATATCATCATTCCCTTGGCTTTTGTAATTATGGGGGTGGTGGTAGATCCAAATGCAGAAGCCATATTAAATCTCTTCCACAACAGTTTATCAATGGCAGCCATCAGCAATTCTGGTATAGTCATACCTGTCCATTGTTTGACATTGTCCCACCAGTTTTTACATTGGTGTCCTCTCCTACATCCACTTTCAATGGTGCCTTACAGGCTGTCGTGCCTTGTAATATGTACAAATCACACCATTTTTTTCCATTTCATGGTGGCAAGAAGAGGCTCAACCTTTTCTACACAAACTCATTTGTTTTATGTTCCCAATAGAAGATGCCAAGGAGTTTTTCTCATGCATTTGTTCTCAAACATTTGGTTCCTTCTCTGTTTCTGCCAACAGTGTCTACATTTCACATCCATATAGGAGAATGGAGACTACAAGCGATTTGTACAGTCTGTACTTTGTTTGAATTTTGCTCCTCCATATTCTTGCCAATTTGGCCCTATATATGAAAATAATCTCATTTTAACAGACATAAATGCTGCCATAATCCTTGCCTTCAGTTCACCTTTGGTATTACAAGGAGTTCTGTTTGTCTCTCACTCAACCTAGCCCAACACACAATCAAGAGTATTGCATCTAGGGAGTTAGACACAGGGTCTTATAGCAACCATCCACTTGACCCAGGGCAGCACTACCTTCACAAGGCACTTGATGTAGGCCTCCATGTTGAGTTTGAGGCCCTGTAGGAGACTCATCCAACTATTTCCGAATTCTCTGCAGTCCTCAGATTGATACCCAAACATTCTGAAATTTTGGTATTGGAGTTTCTAATGCCAATGCCAAGCAATACAACATGCCATTTCCAAATTTCTGGCAGAGTGGTACTCTTTTTCTCACAAACAGTACCCAACTGACCTTACAATATTGTGCAGTTGACAAAATCAAAAACACACATGTGCAAAATTTAAATTATAAAATGGCGACAATTTATCCATCGCACCATATATATATATATATATATATATATATATATATATATATATATATATATATATATATATATTAGATAGATAGAAAGAAACAGAGTTTGCAAAATATTCTTTTACAATGTGCTGGGGAGGTGTCATATAAAATGAAATAATTATTTAAATATTTTTCCAACAAATTTATAAAAACTAAAATTGCTATCAACATATCCTATAGAAAGGTAAAAAAATTTGCTGTAGAAAAAGAGATCTTTGTTATTCAAAAGAGAAAACTAGAAACAAAAAACAAAGATTAGTTTGCAAAGTATAAAAGATGGATTTTAAAAAGTGTAGGAAAGAGGTTGGCAAAAACATATACAAAGAGAATGTTGTAACGGTCAATGTCAATGAAGTAAGCCTCAGAATAACAGGGAACCATGCTCAACATATACACACTCGCATTTGCAAAAACGGAGAATACCTGACAAACATTCCAGCTGGGAAAAAGCTTGCCCTACGAAAACATGACTTTGCAGTCAACTCAGTAGATGTTTTTGTTTTGAAGAAGTTGGGTGGAAGTCTGAAAGCTTTGCAAGCCGAACATCGACGACTGGAATTACAGAAGTCAAAATCAACAGCAGCAACAACATTGTAATATCAGATGAAATTATGATGGTTCTTTTTGAGATAGAAAATCTCTTGTTATACCAAAATGATTCATCAGTTTAAAACCTATACAGCTAGAGGTGAATATTATCAGAGAACTATACATATATAAAAGATATGTTTTGTGGAAATAATGAAGAGTGACAAATTTCTAGTAAAATCACCTCTTTCAACCTGAACAAAAAAAAGGTGCAAGTACCAGAGTTAAAAAGAAAAAAAAGGTATTTCCTGACTTGAAAATAAGCTTGGTCTCAAATTCTAAATCACATTTGTCAAAAAAAAAAAAAAAAAAAGAAGAAAAGTTGCCTAAGACAGGTAAATAAACTTAGAGAACGTTGAGTTACATAAAATCTTATTAGATATTTCTACTAAAGATAAAAAGAATGCACTAACTGAAATATAAAGATTATAAATAGTACAAGGAAGAGGCTAATATTGCATTTGTATTTGGTCAGGTATTTTGATTATTAACAACAAACATAGAATGAATAACAGGATAAACAATATTCTGCTAAAACGAAAATATCCTATTTTAGTAGATTAAAAGTAAATGCCCAGCAAGTTTATACATTTCAAAAGAAAATACAGCTTCATATAAGGAGGTAGTACTGAAAAAATCTCAACAAAGGGAAAAAAGGGGAAAAGGGGTGGGGGGGAGAAAAGAAAAAAGGAAAAAAAAGAGAAAGGAGGGAAGAGAAAAAGGGGTAGAAAAGAGAAAAAAGAAAAAAGTGGGGAAAAGGAAAATAAAATGAAACTGAGGTTTGGTCATTTGATTAGATTTTGTAGATTTTGAGAAATGGGTCAAGCTAAGAAATTTTCAGCACATTGCCTCAAAAAAATGTGTGTATATGAATCCATCATAATGGTTACCATCCAAGTGATAAGTTTATATTAATACAATATTAGTATCTCATTATGTGAAAGGCTACTGAAAAGATCTTGGTTTGATACTTCCTAAAATCTTACCAAACAGCCCCACTATTACCTACATCTAGGGAGAGAAGTAAATTCTGGCAAAATGACCTGAAATTGTTTCAGTCAGAGTTTTAATTAAATTTACCAATTTCATTCTCCATCATTCATTCATATTAAAATGTATAAAAGTTAAAACTTAATGCCCACTTCTCAATATTCAGCAGCATAATGAAAACCTTTAATGTCTTCTTTTTTTTTTTTATAATAATAATACCTATAATACATTGTGATATATGCCTTACTATTTTGTTTTCTAACTAGGTTTCCAAAAGAATGACATTGTCTGATATTACTCAACATTATTTTCAAAATATTTTATAACTACAGAGCTAAAAAATTTCTCAATAATGAACTAATTTTGATATAAAGAAAATAAAAAAAAGAATAGTGTAATAAAAAGGATAAGAAGAAATGTGAAAGAAAGAAGATGGTGAGAAAATAAGCAGAAGGAGGATCAGGAGGAATAAGTGGCAAGAAAGGAAGGAGGAGGAATAAGTGGCAAGAAAGGAAGGAGGAGGAATAAGTGGCAAGAAAGGAAGGAGGAGGAATAAGTGGCAAGAAAGGAAGGAGGAGGAAATGGCAAGAAAGGAAGGAGGAGGAATAAGTGGCAAGAAAGGAAGGAGGAGGAATAAGTGGCAAGAAAGGAAGGAGGAGGAATAAGTGGCAAGAAAGGAAGGAGGAGGAATAAGTGGCAAGAAAGGAAGGAGGAGGAAAAGTGGCAAGAAAGGAAGGAGGAGGAATAAAAGTGGCAAGAAAGGAAGGAGGAGGAATAAGTGGCAAGAAAGGAAGGAGGAGGAATAAGTGGCAAGAAAGGAAGGAGGAGGAATAAGTGGCAAGAAAGGAAGGAGGAGGAATAAGTGGCAAGAAAGGAAGGAGGAGGAATAAGTGGCAAGAAAGGAAGGAGGAGGAATAAGTGGCAAGAAAGGAAGGAGGAGGAATAAGTGGCAAGAAATTAAGACCATAAAAAAGTGAGAAAATAAAAAATACTGATTTTCATTCAAATGAAATGGAAAATTCATTTATAAAAAATGAAAAAAGAATGAAGAAATGATAGAATGAGAGAATGAAAATGATAAATATTTAAACAAATTGTTGGGGCAATGACGAATAAAAATGAACTTAAATGCAGAAGTTAGAAAAGTGAGAACAGAAAATATAAATGCAACAAATAAAAGATGACATGAGAAAATAAAGGATAGTAAAGTAATAATGAAATATAATTAAACTGAAAAACTGCTTACTTTTGTTCTTTTCTTGTCATTTTTCTTCGTGTAGTTGTGGAAGTGTTCTTCTTAGAGTGAGTCATAAACACATTTTCTTCATGAAAACTCGAAGGTAGAGAACCTGGCATTCGTGGTTTGGGAACCATAATAGTACAATCTGGACAGGATGTAGACAGCAAGGAGTTGACGTTCTCATCCTTTGGTTCAGGATCTTCTTTTTGAGATGACAACATGAGATAGCGATGTTTAGAGTCCTTTTTCTGAAGCAAGTCCTCCATGGTCAGTGACTTGAGAGAGAGATCAAAGGAAGAAACATAGTTTCCAGCACGGTGATAAACAAGAACCAAATCTTGAAGACTGAGGTCAACAAGGCCCTTTTGAGAATCAGGACCAAAATCTCCACACATCTCAATGCTAAATATAGGCACCTCAAAACGTGCCTCCATGGGAAGACTTGCAGGAATTGTTTTAGTTGAATGGGAAGAATCGCTGCTGGCTGTACGAGTTATCTTACTGACATCTGATTCACTGGAGGAATCTAGCTTCAGAACAGATATACCTAAACAGAATATAAAAGTACTTTATGATAATAATTAAAGTGTGGATAACAGCACATGTTGTTTTTCACATTAAGGGAACAAAGGAACATATGCAAGTGTCTTCAGATGTATGTGAACATATAAGCAGTTAAGGTTTCTACAGGAGAATTGAGATTTACCTAAGAAAATTTTGACAATGTTTAACCTTCATGCCTATAAAAAAAAAAATATATGTCATAAGAACAATTATTCCTTTGACACCACTATTACGACATAGGCTTTTGGCTTCCTCAGCAATATTTATTCTTTTAAAAAGTGATGATTAGAATTTTAATGAACCCAAACACATGAAAGTTGATTTATACATTTTCTTTATTCTTGATATTAATCCCTATTTATTTATTAGATTGAATAAAAAACTGTTTTCATAAATTTTTGAATAAAAAAAATTTTCAAATTTATTTCTTTATAAAATAGTAAATAAATCTTTATAAAAGGTAAATAATAACTATAGCATTGTACTTGGTTCACAATACTTTTAACCTTGTAAATAAACATTGGCAAAAGAGTCAAAAGTGTATACAGTAATAGCAGTGTCAAGAGAATAACCATACTTTTGTCACACCATTTTTTTTTGCAAGCACCAAAGTTAAACATTGCCAAAGTTTTATTAAAATAAAGCACAGGAATGATAAACTATTCTCAGCTAAAATATGTTTTGTTAAATCTGAAGAGATGCAAAGTAGGAGACAGAATTAAAAATAAATTAATGAAAAAATAAAAATACATCCCCCCCCTTTATAAGCAACTTGGGATTTAGATTTAAAAGTAAATAAAAAGTATAATAGGCAAACTTAAGCTTTTGTGCCTGCAAAAAACTGCAAAAAGGACTGTTTTTTCCATTGACAGAGCTATTATTATTTTAACTACCTTCACTCCTCAATGTCTATTGTCTTAAAAAGCAATGATTAGAAATGTAATAAAACCTAAACATATGAAAATGAATTTATACATTTTCTTTATTTTTGAGAATTGACAGCAAAAATAATATTGTTTATTGATTAGATTATCTATCATAAGGTTTATTGGAATGGTTGGTAAAACATTGGCTAATGTTAAATAATAAGAATTTCCTTATAGTTGGTTCACATATTTCAATTTAGTAAATGTTTATAAGTTTATGAATAAAAAATTTTCACATTTATTGCTTGGTGAATTGGAAAATGATAAATATTGCATTGCACTTAATTCTAATTTTATTAGTTTTATTAACAATCTAATAGTGTTTAATATTTTTGTTGTAAATTCTCAAGAAGAAAAAGATATATAAATTCATTTTCATATTTTTATGTTTTGTTACAATTCTAATCATTGCTTTTTAAAACAAACATTACTGAAGAGCGAAGGCAGTTAACATAATAGCAATGTCAATGGGAAAGTGTCCTTTATCACTTCAGGTGTTTTTGCAGGCACAAAAGTCCAAGTTTGCAGAAAAATACATTTTTCTTCTTTTTTTTTAAGCAACTTAGGATTTTGGCCAATATTCAAGTTGCTTAATTTCTGCACTAGAATTAAGATTCAAGTTGCTTAAAAATTTTAATATATTTTTATGCTTAGATCTTATAAATAGAAAAGACATTGCAACTTAACTAAACTGTTAGAATTATTGAATACAGTATAAAATAATGTATTTAGCAACTTTTTTGTAATTTTTTTAGTTGCTTAAGCCACACTGACATTAGTAGTGGAGTTGCTTAAGATTTAGTTAAATTTGAGTACCAATGCTCATAAATGAGAAGAAAAAAAAATCATGTAAATAGAAATAATCTTTACCTGGAATTGGAGCTCCGTCAGCATCAGTTTCACTATACAAAGAAAACGAAACAGAATCATCCTCTACACTACCCAGTGTCAAGTTATGTCGTGTCTCAAGGATTTGCTCATACACTGGCTTTGAAACCACCAACTTGCAAGGAGTGGCCATCACAATACTGACAGAAATAGACGGTTGAGGTACCGGCTGGGAGGGAACATCCTTGCCACCACGTTCTCCAGATGAGAACGAGTGAGGTAATGAACTACTCTGACTAGAAGCAGGTTGTGAACAAAGATTCTCTTCAGGTACTGTAGAGTGAGACTCGGGCTGAGGATGGAGTGGTGATGATTCTGCCATAGTTGGTGGCCGGGTAATGTCAAACTCGAGCACATGAATAGTTATTTCCAGGTTTGTGTCGTAAAGCACAGGGCTACATTTGCAGAACATCTCATCACTGAACAGCTGCTCGATATCAAGACCCCGCCAGTTGAAAACACGCTCATAAATATTGAATGTGCTGAGGTTGACTGCATACAGACTCATCTTATCCACTCGGATATTGATCTGGTCTTTCACATCTTTTATGTCTCTCATGTAACCCATCATGTTCTCAATAGAAATCTCACCAAGACAAGCCATCAACACCTCCGAGCTGGTCTGTTTGCGAGGTAGGAAAACAATAGGCGTATCAACACGCATGTCTATAGTTATATGCAATTCAGGCTCCTCTGTAGCAGGTGCTCCTGTGCCAGGAACCCACATGTCCTCACTGAATGAGAGATCAGGTGGGAAAAAGTCATTCATTTCAAGGGATTGACTCTGTGACTTTCGTAAATTGTGTGGAGAATGTTCTAGACCAGTCCCACCAGAAATAGTGTCTGTGCGTTTAGCCACCAGTCCTCGTGCAACCTCTTTAGCAGCATGTTTGATTGAGGAGGCTACATTGTAAGTATAGTCCTTAAAGTCAGAGAGACATTCAGTCAGCTCCCGCAAGAAGAGTGGGGAATGGATATAGCAAACTGATGCCATGCGAATTTGTACCATTACATCTTGCTTGGACATAGTAATTGATTTATATATGAGGCTATCGTTTAGAGGCAGGTTAGGAAAAGAACTGGACAGAGGGTTTGAACGGTCAAGATATCTTTCCAGTTGAAATGTCAAGGCATAACTGCTGCCACCTGTGTTATCTCTGCCACTTTCCTGTGTATCTGATGCACCTCCTGATGTGCCTGCTGCTGCAGTTGTTGTATATAGGTGTACCATATCATGGGTGCTGGAGAAGCTAGGTAATGCAGACAATTTGCCCACTTGCAAAATGTACTGATGCCGATGAGCTTCTGCTGTTATATTCACAATGTGGAAGCCTTCTAATGATCCAGCAACTTCAAGCTTTTCACCTGTAAAGAAACAAGTTGGCTTTGTAAAACATAATTCTTAATAAAATGGCAGAAAATCTGATAAGTTATTTACCTGACCTCCCCACTAAGGCAGAGTGACACAAGGGTTTTATTTTTATGTGAAGTACCCATATGCATATGGGCCAAGGACAAAAATTGCCCCCAGTCACTGTTGCAACTGTCATGCAGACAGCGATATTACACTGACCCCCACCACTCTTAGTGCAATGATCAAGGTGCTGCCACAGGATAGGGACCCCTGGGATCAGGCAGCTTCTCTGGTCTCAAATGAGGAAAGAACAGTTACTATGCTTTGATTCCAGTTAAAAGGCAGAGAAGTAGTAGAAAGTCTGATACGAATTTAAGACATGCTTTAGTCTCTGGACACAACAACAGTCATACTCGTGGTACAGGACAAAACATCATGTCTTATTATTGACAAAGTTTTAAAATTAATGATTACAACAACAGAAAATTTGCTGTGTTTAAAGAAGTCGTTAAAAATGTTTTCATCTGTCTAAACCATTCATGAAACCATGATGAAATTAAATGAACCAATTTGTATTAGAATATAAAAATATCAATGCATCTAAGAATTAAATATGCTGCCAAAAAAAAAAAAAAAAAGAACTCTCAAAGAGCAAACTTGTTAAATAAGTTCATACAACTACTGCTGCAGAAACAGTAGCAATGTCTCCAAGAAAGCCTTGATCAAGTGATCAGCTGGTTTTAAGGTTTAAAAATCATTAACACCAATTCAGAGCAAACCCAGCCATATTTTATGGTATCATCAGGTTTTGTTGATTCCCTGTCTGTAGTAAGGCCAGATCTGGACACACAGTTTTTTCCTTCATTTGAGCCTCTTAATTGCCCTTTTTCAAAATGAGCATCTGTCACCTATGCCAAAGCTGAATTTCATGTTAAAACCATGAAACCTCACTTTGATAGAAAAATATGTTATCCGGCTGTCTTCTGTAAAATTCTCATCAATCCCGTTTACATTCATAAAAGTTGATATTTCCCTCAAAGATGTGAGCCATTTTTTTTAATATATTTAATTAACCAGAAGGTCAAGATATTGAGTGGCTGCAATAATCTCAGCTGGAAAGGAGAGATATTTCAAATCTAGTGTAACTCTCCATTCTGTACAGCAATAAATGATTCCGAGCTTCATGAAGTTTAATTTTAGTGATATTTTAATCAAATTCTTATTAACAGTTTTATGATTTCTTTGTAGGCTAGGCAGAAACCTTGAAGTGCCTGGTTGCAGCATTTTAGAGAATATTCATAAGCAATGATGAGGTGTTTGTAAGTATCAGGTTAAATGTTGTGATAATAACAAAAATGAGGACATTAGCCTGAATGTAAATTATGATAACTCCTTATCCTAGAAATTCAGACAGAAAGTAAAAATAATCATACAGCATTTTATTTTAGGCAATGAAATCACCTTTATGTCTTGTACATGTGTGTGAAAAATTCAGATGTAAGTAAAAATATATATAAAGACAAAATGAAAACATTTCTTTGCCGAAATATTCAGTCTTCTGATGGGATTCATCAAGGATGAAATGTAAGGATTTTATTTTGCAACAAGTATTTATAAACAAAAGCAAAAAATGTCATTAAGTTTTCAAAATTTAAAAAAAAAGTTCATAAATATTCTTTAAGCTAACTGTGAAAGTCAAGGTAAACTATGACAGATGCTAAGTGATGTAATTTAATGCCTAATAAACTAAAGTGAGTAAATGATTTTATTGTTATCAAATTTTTTTTTTATTCATTGGCTCATAACCCAGAGATCCATAGATCAGAACTACACACCACTACCAAATGTTAACTAATCTTGCAACACCTTTCTCTCTTTATCTAGGTTTCCAACTCAATTAAGTTTTTTTTTTTGTTCTCTCATAGTAATCTCATTTTTAGCAATTACATGTCATGGGGAGTATGTCCACTGACCCTAAGAGTTATTTTTTTAATTTGATAAAATATTTATGTATTTATTTATTTTAAATAATGGAAGATTTTGAATTTAAGTTTCCTTTTAATTTTAAAAAAAAATTAGTGTGTCACATATATTGTCTTGGGAAAAGAGAAGAAAGGTTTTCCTTTCTTATATATATATATATATATATATATATATATATATATATATATAGGGAAAAGGTTATAATTGTTCCAACAAGAGAAAAATATATATTTTAAAAAAAGAGAGAAACTGTAAACGTTTTTGGTTATAATGTGGATTTGTTTTAGTGTATATATTTTATTCTGCATATTTTTGCTACATGCGTTTCCGGTTTTGTGACCTTCTTCAGGCAAATTAAAGAAATCATTTTTAAAGGAATACAATCTCTGTATGTTCTTTTAATGTTTCATTGTTTATTTTCTGTATTTGTAGTGCGCCTTGATCTCATTTTTTTTGACTGTTGGCAAAAGAGAATTCCTGCCTAAGTGGTAATAAAATCATTAGGTTTAGTTATAGTGGTGGCAATGACAGATGTGTTGATGATAGTTGCCCCCCCCACAACACCCCTCAAATACATTTCCATTTTTGTGTAAGTGTGCGTGTCCGCGCTAGCTTGCACATGAATCAGCATATATATATATATATATATATATCACACACACATGCATGCATACACACACATTCTTCCTGTGTTGCGCAGGGCTCACGTGTATGCCTGTGAGTAGTCTACCCGTTTTTGCCAGTATATATATATATATATATATATATATATATATATATATATATATATATACACACACACACACATTTTTTTTTGTTCTCCATGGATACCTGTTTGTGTGTGCATACATGCATGAATATGTGTGGTCCGACCAGTGTATCTGGTCATCATGTGTGCATGCCATGCGTCCATGTGTGTGGGGTCATGTTCTGTTTAGTGCTGTTTAAATTTGTCTATGATGTTTTTTTTCTTGAATTTGTAAGAAAGAATAGTTGTCTGTTTGGTATATTGGCATAATTTTTAAATTTGACTTGATTCCATTCATAGATTTGTTGCGATGCAAAGTGTTTTCTGTTGTCGGGTAATTTGATGTTGCTTTTGTGAAGGACAACTCTATTTTTAAGTGCTTAGCTGATGCCTATATATGATTTCTTACATTTTGTGCATAGATCACATTTTTGGAGTTGCCATTTAAAATTCTTCTTTATTGTGAATGTAGTTGTGGGGGTTTTCAAAGGTGTAGGACTTCCCTTCTATAATGACATCACAAACCCCACATCTTTTTTTGTTGCAGTTTGTGACCCCTTGTATATTGTCTTTGTTTAATTTTGAATGCGGTTTTGTTTCAGGTTTTTAGATTGGATTAGAATGACAAAATGAAAAATGTACTAAAAACAACCAAAATAATTAAAAGTATTCTTGTTAAGTAGGTCTAAATTTCTTGTAATTTCCGTAAATAGTTCTGGATTGTTTTTATTGTATGTTGAGACATATGCTAGGGTTTGTTCAACCTTATGTTTTTTTTTGATTTCATAGTTGATCCCGAGGTGATTTTCTGCTAATTCAAAACCTTTTTTTCATTAGGGTTGTGGGGTAGCCTCAGTTTTTTTTTTTTTTTAGAGTTCTATATAATTCTTCTAGGCGAGTTTTTCTGAGGTGTTTGTCAGTTACTATAGTGCAAAACCTACGTGCTAGGGAATAGGGGATGGATTTCATAAACCTTTTTGGGTGATGGCTCTTGAAATGAAGATATTGTTGGGTGTCTGTAGTTTTGTGGTAAATATTTGTGATTATGTGGTTGTTTCTATTTCTAAAGTGTATATATAAAAGTGGTAATTCGTTAAAATTATATTCTTGAGTGAATTTGATTTTTGGGTGTAAGAAGTAGAGTAGGGAATTGATTAATATCACCCTATTAGGATTTCCAGAAAATGAAGTAATCATCTAAGTATCGTTTCCAGGATTTAGTGAAGTGGATTTTTATATTTTCCCCATATATTTGTTTTATCTGTTCATATAGGTTTTCCTCTAGGTAAGCTAATATTAGGGTGGCATATGTTGGTGCTGTTTTTGTTCCCATTGCAGTACCTAGGGTTTAGATATAGTTTTTGTTGTCAAATTAAAAAAATGTTATTGTTTAGAATCAGGTCTATACTGTTGATAATGAATTCTTTAGTGAATCTGGGATGTAGGGTTTCTGAATATTTTTCAATCCAAAATGAGATTGCCTAATTTATGGAGTATGTTGCTATATGGGCTACTGATGTCAAAAGCAGCCATAAGTGTTCCTGGATCAACTTTTTGGGGTATGGAGCTATATATTCAAGTATGGTTTGGTTCAATAAATATTATGTCTATATAAAAATATTATGTCTATTTATTTTTATCCTCTAAAATTCACAGATCAATTTCTTAGTTCTGTTACAAAACTGATTAAGAAAGATGCCATAGCTTTGGTCATTTCTTTTATTTTCCCAAAGTACTTTCAATCTCATCCAAGATCATTTTCAGAGGTGAGACAAAAATTAATGTAATTGATAGTTGTGAATTTTGTAAATGCACATGAAACGCACTCCGTTATAGTTAATTTATGTTAAGAATATGTAAGGGAGGTATCTTAGTTTAAATTTTTTTTATTCTGAATGTTTTAAAAAATACTCAACTAGCAATTTTTTACAATTTGAGCATTCCAAAACATTGCTTTTATAGACATTTTAAAAACATTGTTGCTATACTTATAATTAATTTTATAATTGGTTTCATTTACTTTATATATATATATATAGGGAGAGAGAGAGTACTTTGATAATTTCAAGTTTTTGTTTTTATTTTCACGGTCTAAATTATTCAACCAAATTTGAAAGAAGATATGCTACTATATATATATATATATATATATATATATATATTAGTGAGATGAAAAGCATTTAGGGCCCAAATATTCCTCTTCTTGTCTAGTGTGTAAGTCACTAAAATAATGAATTTATCAGTTGCCTCAAAATATAAAGCTTCAATACTTACTAAGACGAGCATTAATCTGGGCATTTGACATCGTAACAGTGGCCACCTTTTTGGCACTACGCCCAGTTTCTGAGTCCTCTAGCCTCACTAAAAGGATGTTTAAACGATGGAAGTCTGCAGTCATGCCAATACACATATGAGAAATACTCTGAAGAAAGAATGGGGAAAAAATTAAACATATAATCCTAAATAGAAAGTATAATCTTAGCAAGACAGAAAAAATCTAAAGTTTAATTAATTAATAAAACGGTCTCTGTATGTGCATGTTTGTATAAAATATGTCAGACCTGAATACCTAAAAACTGAAGTGAACATTTTTTAAAATAATTTTTATACATACCTTAATTGGATCATTTAATAAAATAGAATGTTTTTTTGTTTCAATGTTTAGGGAAAAAAAAAAAGAATAGAAACTTGATTTCCTGCATTTAAACAGGTCTGGAAAAGGAAGTTTTACTAGAATGTATTAATATATAACTTATATAAGTAAACAATAGTACTTCTAGTATTAACTGAATGAAATAGTATTTTCTTTTTTTATATGTTCAACCAATACAAGACCCAACTGCCACTCAAGGTAGGTGCTTACTGAATTAGGTTGTTGTATGGATTAAGAGAAGGAAGTAATAAGTGCAAATTATGAATATGTATAGGATAGATAACCATTGAGCCTAGACTTGAAGAGGTTAAGTTTGGAGTGATTGTGGAAGCATCCTCTCAGGAGTCTGTTCTACAATTTAATAGTTCTTGGGAAGAAGTTGTCTGAGTGGAATTTCCTCTTTACTAATGGAATACAAATGGAATGAGAATGATTCAACCGTGTGTATATAGCAGGGTCTGAAATGGTGCACAAATTATAACTACTAAATAATTCACCTTTGACACTGAATTGGGTTGCTTTCGAGAATCTGTAGGTTTCTGTTGATCTCCTTGGTTTGCTGTTGCAGATTCCTTACCGCATTTTGCTGTGTATTTTGTAACTTCTTTCATTGTACTATGAAAGAAGGACATGATCTCTGTGAGTGTTTCTTGGTTTGCTACAAAATCAAATAAGGGTCATTAGATAAAACATTCTGTGTAACAATAACAAGGATACTGTTTTTTTACAGCTTATCAACCTTTTGCAGGTTATTTAAAGTTTAATGATTTTTCTACTATTTAACCCATAGTTGGGGGGATATGTTCATACATTTCCCAAGGGTATTTGCACATAAGAGAATACAACAAAATTAATTGGAATTTGAACTCTGTTCTCAGATTTGTCATTCCAAACTACTATCTATTACACCACTTGCATTTCCAACAATACAAGGATAAATAAAAATAGAAAGTAAAAAAAAAAAAAAAATTACAAAATAAGCAGACAGATTAAAAATAGATTGGAAAAAAGAAAGAAAGAATTAATGAAATATGAAAATATATCAGAAGATGACAACTCACCGATAACATCAAGACTGTTAAATTGGATGTCAGCTTTGCCAACTTTTTCATTGGTTGGATTGTTTGGGCTGTTACTAGCTATGAACTGAATATGCAAGGTTATCAAAGCTTCACCTTCTTGTGAGGGTTCAGTTCCCCCTTCCTCACGCATATCACTTAGACCTGTTAAAAGAACCAAAATAATTCTCAGTGGAATAATAAATGGTATGTGGAGTACTGAAAGGTCTCAACCTGACTTACTTCCCAAAACATGATCAAATATCAAAATCTTTTTAATCCTTTCTTGGTCAGCCCAAGAGCTTATCAGCACCTCCTAAAAAACAACAATTTGCTTGATTCCCAAGTTAAACTATGCTGCAATAGTTACTTAAATGGGTGACAATTTGAGAATTATAAATACTACATAAATATTGTGATTTATAATCAAGTAATATCAAGCAGACAGATGTCACATAGCAGCTCAGTACTCTTTTATTTGTCACCAAAGAAATTCTCCTGTCTTGCAGTACTGTGCGCAGCTTTTAGAATGCGTCTTTGGACATCCCAATCCATCTTCGGATCTCAGTGTCACACCTACCGTCCTCTGTCAAAACACTTCCCAGATATTTAAACTTCCACACATGCTTGATTTTAGTGTCCCCGACCTGCAAATTGCATTTTCCTTTTACTGATGACCATGCATTTTGTCTTCTTGTAGTTTTATGGTTAGTCCCTTCTTCTTGCTCTCCCTCACTACCTTTTGTAGGAGGTTCTGTAGTTTCTTTTTCATGTCTGCTATCAGTGCCGTGTTGTCTGCGTATCTTATGTTGGTCAGATTGTGGCTGCCAGTGCTAAATCCTGGTAGGATCTCGGAATTCTTTCAGAATTGCCTCACTGTATAGGTTAAATAAGTCCAGTGAGAAGACACATCCTTGTTTTACACCCCTTTCTATTTTGGTATATTTGCTGAACTAGATGTGGTTCTACAGAAGGATGCTATTGATATTGTGGAGCGAGTGTGTGAGCAACAATGAGGTCTTGGAGAGGATGCAAACAAGGAGGAAGCTTATACTTAACATAAGGAAGAGGCAGATGAAATTTCTGGGACACGTAATGAGAATGAAAAGCTTGGAGAATCTGATACTCACAGGTCGAATAGAGGGAAAAAGAGACAGGAGAAACCAACACGTGACACACCTGGCAGGCTTAAGCAAGTGGATGGCAGAACGTGGTCTGGGGGAGTTGGCACTTGTGAGCTACAAGGGATAGGGAGAATTGAAGAGCCATGATCACCTACGTCCTGAAAGGACACAGCACATAAAAAGAAAGGATATCAATTGCAAAACAAGCATTTGAAGGTTAACTCATGTAGTTCAAAGGATGCCACTGCTATCCTCTCCTGTGCATAGGATGTTGAACTAGATTCACTGGTTCAGCTGTTGCAATTCCAACACTTGCTTACATATATATCATTTCACCCCAAACAAGGCAGTAAAGTCACTAAGACACAAGGGGGTTAAAGAGTGTGAAAGAATAAAAAAAAAGAAAATAGAAACATTATTAAGGAGTGAGAACAATAAAAGAAGAGTAATCAGGAAGACAATAGAAAACAGTTGACATTGCATTTAAATTTTTGAAGATCTGTAGTTATCAGGGAAGCAAGTAAATGGAAGGGAGTTCCACAAGTGGAAAGTGTGAGAAAAGAAGCTGTTAGAGTAGAAGTGGCAGTTACATTTGACTATTTCAATGCTAGATACTAGTTTAGTAGCACACTTAAATTTATGTAGTCAGGGCACCAGGGAAAAAAAAGCTTGACAGAACAGTTGCCATGAAAATATTTGTAGAAACGACAGAGGGAAGCCACATCATATCTGTGAGAAAGTGACTGAATTCGAGATGCCAAGTCAGGGTTGATTACATTGCAGATCATTCTTTGGATTTTGTCAAGCACCTTGAGATGAACAGCTGGAGCACCATGCTAGATATGGCAACAGTACTCAATGCACGGATGAATGGTAGATTTGTAGAAATGTAAGATTTCTTTCCTAAGTTAAACCAGTTATTACTGGTTTAACTTGACCAAAATGGTTCAGTAGTAATAAATGTTACAAAGGAAAAGAAAAGTGAATTTCAGATAATCAATTAAAGGAATCAATACTAACCTGACAAGGAGGTAACAGGAGATTAAACCAAGTCAATTATTGATCAATTCTGAATGGGGTCTTTTCCAAATACTATTCCACAATGAAATAAGAAAGGCACATATTAAAAAAAAACAAAAAAAAAACAATCCTGTACATCCAAATTTCATAAGATTCTGTGACATTTTTCTAACAGATTTAAATCCAACTTATTTCAACAGTTGGTGTTTCACTTCCTTACAAATGGGAAACAAGGTTTCTATAGAACAAAAATTAAATACATTACATTAAGAGTAAAATAAATTAGCATTTTATGTATGTGTTTAACCTAGGAAGGGTTACTGAAACAGAATAACCAAAACAGAGGTAATGGTAATCTTTATAACATCAAAGAAATACAATATATACTGCCAGGTACCTGAAGTAGGTAAACCACTGCTAGTAGTTAACTACTTAGATAGCATAAGAAAACTTTCACTAAACAATAGTGTCCAACGTCTTTATGATGATTGGGACATACCCATTAGTGTCCATAGGTATGGTATATAACAGTATGTTATATCATTTTATATTTTTCAACAGATTATTTTCTTCATACACAAAACTTCCAGATTCAATTTAGTGGCTTACATAATCAACATGGTATCAAATGCATATTTGAAGGCCATTTATAACTTACATGAACCTCATATTACTATACTTATAAATTGATTGATTGATTGATTTGTTTAACAGCATATCAACTCCTTATGTGTAATTTAATGCTAAAATTTTCTTACGAGCTGTGAAGTAATAAAAGTATATGTTATTCTGCTTTCACAACTGAATACATGGTAGATACTCAGCTTGTTAATAAACATGTTTGTGCGGACATAATTACTAGAGTGTGTTTTCTGTTGTAGTTTTGTTGAAGTTATATTTTAGAATGCAGTTTGGTTCCTTTAAGAAATTTTAGGATATTATATAGATTAATGTCATGGAAGAGTTCTTTCATGTTAGTCAATTGGCTGGTTGATTTTGTTTAGCAGCATATCAACCTCTATGGGTTATTTAATGCAGAAATCTAAATATTATGAAGACAATTTTATGGCTTCAGCTAAATATATTTTGAATGCAACTGTATGCCTTCAAACACAGATAAAATGTATTATTGGTAATTCTACTAAAAATCTGTATTTCCAGTAATTCTACTAGAAATATATATTGATGGTAATTTTTTTTATATATATAAAAATGTATTGCTGGTATTTTTTAAACTGCAAAACAGTGTTTTTTGTTACCATTTGGGGTTTCACTATTTGTCCATAGCTGGGACCCTAACAGGTGCTACCACCACAGGTCAGGGTGAACATGAGAACAGCAGCAATTAAGAGGTGGTTCCATGCTCCTCAAAATCTCTAATCTCCAGATCAGAGGCCTTGCTGCCAGATGTAGTTTACTGTCATACCCATGACTAAATATACTTATAAAATCTTTATTATTAAACTACAAATATCTACACTTGACCAACCAAAGAGACAAATCTTTTACCGTGATTATTAGTTTCATGAGCAAAACCATCTTTTGCAGAATTTAAGTAAGTTTCCTGCTATTTATTTACTTTTCTTTTTGCTGATTTAGTCTTTGTTTTCTTAATATCTACACTTGATAATTAATAAGTAATTATTATATATTACGGTTCTATTTAAAAAAATATAGACGATGTAGGGCAATTATTACATGCTCTATTAAGTATTTACAATGAAATCTGTAATTTTCTAATGCAATATATGGTAGGAATATAGAGTTTAGAAATCCTGTGTAATCTCATTCATATGCAATTTCCCACATAAAGTTATGTAATACTTACGCCAGATTTTTGTGGGACGCAGCAAGCAGCTCAAAATCTTTGCCAAATGTCTGCAATCCATCAACTAAAAGCAAACTGTGAACAGTAAGGGTAATTGTTGCTTCTTTTGACATCTTGACAAGCTTGCTTTGCACATGATCAACTTGTAGCTCTGTAATTGGGCGTCCTGTAAGCAATAATAAGTAAAGCATAAGATAAATATCCATTCAAATCCAATTAAGGAAAAAGACAAATAAGAAAGTACAAGGTGAAAATGAATTGGTATACTTTCACTTGTTACTGTATGCAAATACTAAATTCTTCTTTTTAAAAAAAAAAATAAAAAAAATAAAGTCACTCATGATGTGCAAATGTAGCATAATGGCAATTGGCAAGACAAGTTCAAATTCCAGTCTAGTTGCATTCACTTTCACACTAAAGCCTGTGGAAATGGCATGAATACATTTTTTCTTATAAATATTACTGATGATTGTCATTTTGTTGTTTTAGTATAACTTATAAATCTTACTTATTATAAAATGCAGATTGTGTGTGTGTGTGTGTGTGTGTGTGTGTAACGTTTATATGTTGGATCGAATTTCCTACATTTTTTTAGCCGATTTCAACAAAACTTCACAGGACAACATAAAATTACCTTGTGGTGGTTCTAACGGGGCCGAAAATGGGAAAAACACAGTTGTTTTTTTAATAAAATCAATTTGAAAACACGAAGACACATCGTGAGAATGAAAGGGGGACAACTCACCCACGAAAATGTAAACAAAAGAGCATAGCATGATGAAAAAGACGCCGAACTTGACGAAAACAAAATTTTATCGTCTAATGTTCATATTATTATTAAAGAGGAAAGATCAAAGTATTTTGGGGGTATTTTTTTACATTTTTTAATCGTTCCTAGCACGTCTGAAATTTTCGTTAAAAATATTTTTTTTTTTTTTTGGTCAAAAAAAGGACAGATAATCATTTTCAATCATTTTTTTCGATTTGATAAAAAAGATTAAAATCTTACTTTGATATTCTTTTAAAAATCAATTATCATTTTTTCAAAACTGATTTTAATAAAAACAGAAATTATACTGTTTATTTAAAATATTTTGAACCAAGCTTAACTTAGCTTCTGTGCCGAAAAAAATGTAATTTGAAAATAAAACAAAGCAGGTCATAACCTTTTGCGTCGCTTGACGATTGACGAAAAGGCACATTCATGACGTTTAGATAACTTACGGGAGGAGAATTCTTTCTACGGATGGAAGGAAGTGAAATTATTTAAGTGAACAAATTATTTACCTTGTTACTTTTAAGGAAAACTTTCAGCGCTCTAATTTTTAATTTTTTTTTTTTTTTTTTTTGTACTTAGCTTTCATTTTTACGTTTACGATGCTTTATGGAAAATATAAAGAAATTAAAAAATAAGACTGTTAATAGTGAGATTAAATTTCATAAGAAAAAGGTATCTAATTAATTTAGGTACCTTTCTTATGAAATTTTATCAGAAGTGTACATAAAATACTATAATTTTATGTACATTTATTACATTTTACTGTGTTATTTGTATTTCCATTCATTTTATTATTAATTTTGATATTTCATTTATGGAAAAATGTCATAACTGAGATTAATATAAAAAATAAGATCATATAAATTAAAGTTTAGCAGTAGTTAAATTTCATAAGATGATACTGTTACTTGTAGGTACCCTTCTCAGTTGAAATTGAAAACTCAAATTAACTTCTCCATACGTGTTTCGTAAAAGTAAAGGGCTTAACAGCGGAGAACAATGCTGAACTCAAATAATGCAACTAAATTGTATTCTGGTTGGTCTTCCGTACTTGATAATTACTGTCCGACTATAAACACAAAAATTACATTTCTTAATTACCATGGCTAATCTGATTGGTCCAAATTATACAATTTTCAAAGCGCTAGACAATGACAATCTCACACGGACATTTTGAAAGGTTGATGTTGCTTTTTAACTAATGTTAAAAAATATTTTTAAAATTCAATTTAAACATTTTTAAAAAATCTTTTTAAAATTAAAGAAATAAGAAATAATTGTATTAAAAATTCAATTTTCATTGAAAACATTTTTTGCTTTCAGAAAATATTGTCCATATTCATAAAAACAAATTAAAACAAATAAAAGCATTTGAAACTAAATAATATATTTGTTTTATTGAGTTTTGTATGTTACAATTCACAGCTGATTTTCAGGTACGTTGGCCAAAAAAAAAAAAGAAACAAAAAAAAAACAAAACATGATTTGCATTCTTCAAAGCCTTGTGCTTTTAACTATTGTAATCACTAAAACTGATGGTCTTGAATTTCTAGAGTTTTTCATAAAATTAGTTATGGGGGTGTTAATAAATATAAAAAAAAATATTTCTGCCATGACTTTTAAAAAAAAAAAAAAACATATTTATAATAATTTCGATCATCTGTGAATAGTTTCTGAAAGTTTCATTAACATCTGACAATTATTTTTATTTTTGCAAGATTTTCCAAATTAATGTGTGTAAATACAAAAAAAATGCGCTAAAAATTATCTATGTTATTTACTACCCCTTGTTGCGACAAAGAGAAACAAGGTTTTTTTTTAAATCAAAATTTAGAATATTCTAAAAGATGGAAAATTTTTAAAAAAATAATTAAAAAAATTTAGTCTATCCTCTTCATAAAAAAACATAAGCATTTTGACGATAAAATTTTGTTTGTAAACATGGCGTCTTTTTCTATGTCTTTTTCATCAGACTATGCTCTATGTTTTAGTGTGATTCCGTGGAGTGACTTAGGTTAAAAACCCAGGTTGTTGTGTGTGTGTGTGTGTGTGTGTTCCTTTATATATGGGATCGGATTTCTTACATTTTTCAGCCGATAAAACAAACATCCACTTTTTTTTTTTGGCAGGTAGTATTTCTTATTGTCTTGCACACTTTTTTTCTTTATTTACATTCAGAATGCTTTAAAAATTCCATTTACAAGACAATTGTTTATAATAAAATTCTATTCACCAATCGATAGACTCATAACGATTGTAAACAATGTTTTTTTTGTTTGAATTTGACCAAATAAAAAAAAAAAAAAACTAATTAAGACATGCGTGTTCGTCAACCTTAAACAATAATCTTTGTCAATTTTATTTTCAGTCTTTATGATGGTCGATACTTGATCTATCTCTTATTGTTACATCCCCGGACAACGCCGGGCTCTACTGCTAGTTTATTATATTCCATAATATAGGTTTTACTTAATTATATATTTATGGTCCTCTAATTCTTCAAATGTTGAAATGTAACTAAATCTAATTTCTATTTTTCCATCTTTTTATTTTATATTAATTTTATTTTGAAAATTGTAAAAAATTCTGTCACCCATAAAATAAAAAATTGTTTGTACCTGAAAATAACGATCTACGACATCAAATTCTCTTTTAAGTAAAAAGAAGAATTGTCATTGAACTTTTAAAAGATAAGCTTAAATATTAATTCAATACTTAAATGCAGCGATCAATTTTGAGTTCTGGAGTTTATTGATGTCTATCACATCTACTCCTCCCTCGCTATTGAGATGACGGCCAAACCTAATGTCCTCCACATGTGCTAGCTAGCATACATACATATATGTGTGTGTGTATGTGGGTGGGTGTGTGTTATGTCTCTGTATTTATGTCTGTGTGTGTGTGTATATATATATATTATTTATATATATATATATATATATATATATATATATATATATAAATGTGTGTATATATATTTGTATCTATATATGTGTGTGTGTGTGTATATATATATTTATATGTGTGTATATATGTATATATATATATATTTGTGTGTGTGTGTGTGTGTGTGTGTATATATATATATATATATATATATATATATATATATATATATATATATATATATATGTGTGTGTGTTATATTTTGATTTGTAAATCAAACGATTCTGTTTTCTATTTTTCTTAAAGATTACATTTCTATCTCTTGTTGTTACATCCCCGGGCAACGCCGGGCTCTACTGCTAGTAAAACAATATAAACAGTATTTAAAAGGAGTACATTATATACAGAAATAATTCTAAAATCTTTCTGAAACTTATTTTAGAAAAAAAAAAAAAGAGAAAAAAAAAAAGTGATGCAGTAAATAACATTAGTGGAAATACATGAGTAGCAAAATTACACAATGTTTAACTTTCATGTCCAGTGTGTCAAAATGATGGTTATTCCTTTGAAAATGCTTTTAATGAATACATTGTCGTCTTCCTCAGTAATGTTTATTGCTTTAAAAAGCAATGATTAGAATTTTAATAAAACACAAACATATGAAAGTAGATTTATACATTTTCTTTATTCTTGAGAATTGACAAGAAAGACATTAAACACTATTTATTAGATTAATTACTTACAAGAATAATTTTATATCTACAAGATGATAAAAATATATGAAACAACTGATCATGAAATATTTATTATTATTGCTTATAAAGAAATAAATATGAAAAGATTTTATTTTTATTCATAAACTTATAAAAATGTCTGAGCAAGAAAATTTAAATAAACACATAAGTAGTAACTGTAATTATAAATTTTTTAAAAATGCATTTTCCAGTCATTTCTTTCATTTTCTCTTGCCATATAAATTCACTAAGAGAGCACCTCGGCGTGGTGTAATGGTTAGCAAGCTTGTCTCGCTAAATCGGTTACAACTGAAAAGTGAGTTCGATCCTCACTAGATGCCCCATACTTTCGGCCTTGTGCCACATCTAAGCTATGCTTGGAAAATAACTATAAATTCACTAAGTTAAGAACATCTCTTCCTCGGAATCATTTTAATTTGTTTGTCATATCTTTATTCACATGTTCTTCAAGTTATTTATAAAATGGTAAATAATACATATTACTTTATAGTTGGTTTACATATTTTGATAATTTTGTAATTTTTTTTTATGAATTTTTGTATAAAAAGAATTCTTTTCAAATGTATTTCTTTATAAAATAGTAAATAATAAATCTTTATAAATGGTATATAATAAATACTACATTGTACTTGGTTCACATATTTTCATTATTTTGTAAATAAACATTGCTGAAGGAGTCATAAGTGTATACAGTAATATCAGTGTCAAGGGAATAACCATCCTTTTGACAGACTGTTGTTTTTTGCAGGCATGAAGTTTAGACATTGTCAAAAACTAATTTCTAAACCAGTGAGATTATTTACAGTCCTGACGAATTATATTGACTTCTTTTGAAGGTAAGTTAGCTGAAAGAGTTTTTATAATAATCTATTTATTATTGCTAATTTCTGTAATTCATATATGCATAATCTGAGAAAATCACAAATTTTTAATTGCATCTCATTTTCACTCTTAAACAGTATTAAAAGTTTTTAAAAATACAAATAAGCTATAATATATATATATATATATATATATATATATATATATATATATATATTTTGTGAGAATTTTTAAAATTTTTCAGCATACCTTTTTTGTGGTAAAAAAAAAAAAAGCTTACCCCGACTGTTGATTTCCAAAGAGAGTTTATTGACTGAAAACTCTGATACCAAGAGCACTGAACTCTCCAACTTTTGCTGATCTTGCTTGTCTTTTTCATTATCCTTTTCAGTCACCAAACTGAGAGAGAGAGAAAAAGAAATGTTTCAATCAAGTCTAGATTAATAAAGAACTAATTTCTTTATCAGTGTGCCATACTCTAGAGAAATTTAAAGCTAAATTATTATTTATATATTTGGATTGCTAAAATAATACTGGATATTTTAAAATCACTTTTTTCAATAATTTGGAAACTGAGAGCCTGGCAGCATACCTCAAAACTTCAAGATTTGTTTTTTATGGCTTATCAACCTTTTGTAGATTATTTGAAACTAGAAAATACCTAAAAAAATTTTTTAGAAGTTTTTGAGAGATAATAATGATTTACTGCTAAAAGTCATATTAACCTGTAGCTAGGGAGGGGAGGTGGAATCATACCTTTCCCAAGGGTATATCCACCTAAGTGGCATCCACTTTGAAGGGGAATGGAGAAGTAAGAGTGGATGAGGGTTTTTGTAGACAAAATAACAACAAACAGGACATTGATTATTTCCAAGTGCTGGCCTATACTAACAGTCATGCCTGGGATCAGAGTCAGTTCTGGTCTTCTCGACAGGATGTTGGATTTAACAGCATGTCAACTCCTATTTGGGTCATTTTATGCCGAAGCCTTATTAATTTATGAATTTAAGATGGTTATATTGTGTAAAAGGTTGAAAGGCTGTTGGGTTTCATAATCTACTGTATTTTTTGGGGCTCTTGACAGGAGATGGACTTGTCCATCACACAGTTCTTATGCCACCCATTCATATTGCCAGACATACATCAGGATGTGTAGATGGGCAAAGAGTCAATAGGAGGTAGAGCTGATCTATGAAATTGACAATTGTTCAAGGTGCCATCTACCTATCCACTCAGGTAAGTAGGGGGAAGTCCAAAATTAAACATTTACATATAATGTGGGGAAACAGGATTCGTATTCTTATTTCTCACTGTGGCATTTGTCTTTCATTCTGTTATCTTGTGGACATGCAGCAGGCACTTTCCCAGATTTTTTTTTTTTGCACACTGATAAGGTTGATAATCAAAATGCAACATGGGGTAATCATTGACCAGTCGGTGGAAAGCTTGGGCAAGTGTCATGTTTTATGTTTAGTTATAACTTTATAGTATCATCATCATTTATGTACCATGTTTCTGTCGGAAGTGGATAATCATGGATCTCCACAATTTTCTGTCCCTTGCAGCTCTAAGCAGCAACATTTGATGCTTCACCATTCCTGATCTACCATTCACCAAAATTCATTAGGCAATTTGCTTATTGATTCGCTCTAGCCATCAATGTCCTGTTAGTATTAATTTTTTCAAACTGTCCTTCCTCATGTCTTCTAACTTTCTCTTTCTGATTTTAAGTATGAGTGTCTTCCCAGTTTTCAGTTTCACAAGGACTTCCTGGTAGCTCACATGTTCTGTCTATGATATTCCTAGCATCTGTCTGTAGAACCACATCTCTGCTGCTTTGAGTCTATTGATACTATATATACATTGGAGAATTTAGATTATTATTTCAAGAATAATAAAACCTATTGATCTAAGCTCATCAAAACAAATTTGATTAAAACAATTTTATATTTCTGAAAATGTTAGAAAAAACAAACCATGAATAAGAAATACTTCTTACTTAAGGAGTGAGGCACTAGGCACACCCAGATCTACTGGTTCTGTCTCAAGGCTTTGGTAAACACTAACAGAACTTTTCAACTTTGGCTTGCTAGTCTTCTGTAAAGTATTCAACTGAGCCATGCAAGTACATAAGGCTTTAATCTGAAAATAAAAAATAAACAATCTCTCAAATTCATATCATATAATCACTTTCCTAAAACAAGACAAGTGTACAGCTGTAACTGTCCTACTTGCTACTTTACAAAAATACATCCTTTTCCACTATTTTTTTTATCATTTCAACCCAAGCAAGGTGATAAAGCCACTAAGATGAACATCAATAATAATGGGCTATTCTATTTTGATAGCATGGAAAGATGGAAAAGAGATATCAGAGAGACTACTTGGTTTCAGTAAGAAAATGAAAGTAAAAAGAAGGGAACTTAGAAGTGTTTAACATCTGTTTCAATGAAATGGAAAAAGTTGTCAATTTCAAATCTTTTCATTTGTACCCCTTTACCTCTTTAAATAACAACCAGCATTCACATTTATGATTATTATTGCAATACTTTGTTAAAGTTGGTAAGCTCAAATATTTAACAAAGTGATAGAATTTCTAGATATTTTATTGTCATAGAAATCACCATGAGCTTATTCAATCATTAACTGAAGAATTAAGATTCATCATAAAATTCAAATAAGAAAACCATGAAATTTTCACAGGTATTTCTCATATGCCATTATATGTCAAAATAATGAAAGGTTGAAAAATAAAATAGATGAACTTGCAAATCTGTTATTCTTAATATAAACTGAACATAAAAGAATGGATAGTTAGCAATTAATATTCTACTTGTTACTTTATGAAATTTCTAAATAACTGCTAAAGAGAAAGCAAGTAAACTTAATTCGTCACTGAGTAAAATCCTTTAATATATATTCTAAATATAATCATGAATTCCCACAGTCTATAAATGTGTTTCACCTTTCTTTGGTCAGCATGAATCGTCAGTGAAGGTAAAGTTCCAGACAATTTGGCTGAAGGCCATTCAGGATCAGTAGTGAATACAAGTCGACTGAAAGCAAAAAAAGGAAATTAAAAGGTCAAATCAAAAAACAACAGTATTATACATCAAGCACTTCAATATTCATTTCTATGCATCATAGTAAATTCATTAAAAAATGGTCCCTACACCTAGAAGTAATTGTAAAACAAAACTATATTTTTTTTCATTCACTTCTTTCAGAATGAAAAATGTTTAGTGTTGAAGTGCATCATAAAAACAAATGTATAAGAAGCCAAATTTTTTTATTCTACAGAGAAAATACAAGGGTCTATATTGATGCTGAAGATTTAGGATTTTTGTAAAGATTTAAGAATTTCAGGGATAATAGCAGAAAACAAAGATACTTTAATATTATTTTTTATATATTGAAATATTTTTAATTTGAAATTTTGATCAAATTCTATTTAAGTCATATCATAGATATTACAAATAGTAGATAATATTCCCTAACATTTGACTACTTGCTTCAAAGATAAAAAAGCAACTTTTTTTTCCATTTTATAATACATACAAAAAAAAACAAAAAAAAGCAGTGCATAAAAAGGGTATTCAGTTTTACAACATTAATAATGAAACATGACACATAAAAAAAACTACATCCAAAGTCTATAATAAATACAGTAAAATTAACTTTTGATTAACATAAGTAAAAATATTTTATTAGGAAAGAAATGGATAATTTTAGCATCATTAAAAAACATTGTTGCCCAAATAGTGACCCAATAGAATGCAGGCTCAAAGCAAATGCCTTCCATTAGAGCTCTTAATGAGGATACAAAGACTTACCGTTCTAGTAGTAGTTCAATGCTGAATTTGTCAAGCAGATGAACTCTGCTATTGCCTCGTGAATGAGCAGCTTTCCAGTTATCATGTGTTTGGCCAATTAAAACCTGCATGTCTTCTAATACAACTTTGTATCTTTAAAAATAACAGTAGAAATTAGCAAATAATATTGCATATAAAAACATCTCAAAAAATAAAAAGTACAGATTATTTTCCCACTAACTTATTCCTTTTCCTTCATTCTAATGCTGCAGTAAGTAAACTATAATTTATATCAACACAAGTGCCATTTAAGTACATATGCACATCCTCACAGATGGGCAAACAGACAAACGTACATCTGCACAGCCAGGTGCATGGCTGCACACACAAACAAATTATATGGAAAAAAACTTACCCCAATGGTAAGTGCATAAAAAAAGAAAAATCAAAAAATATAAGCAGTCAATTCCTGATACCAACTGAACAGTGGACAGACAGGTCTGCTACGAAACTCTGGAGTCAGGATGCTGAAGGTAACAAACTTTTACTTATATTAATTCTCTCTCTCTCATATATATATATATATATATATATATATATATACATACATACACACACACACATAAAAAATCTGTGGTTAAGTAATCTGAGTGAATCCCATTAATATAAAATATTACAACTGACCCAAAAAAGAGAGTTCAATATATTTATTATAGAGCAATAGAGCATAGAAATGAATTACATAAAAATGAAACTCAATTACACCCAGTTTTTATGCTCCTTGGGATAAATTCCCTGGAGCTTGTCAATACTAAAATGTTTGATAAAAAAAAAAAAAAAAAAAAAAAAAAAACACACACACACACACACACACACACAAGCATGTATGGTTGAATAATTTAGACACATTATGTCTAATTTTTTTTTTTTTTTTTTTAAATCCTCTCATATTCACGGATCTTTCTTAATGTTGTAATAAAATTGACTGAAGAAGACTCTGTAGCTGTTCTTATTCTTTTTATTTTCACAAGTACTTTCAATCTCATCCAGATCATCTTCAGGGATAAATTGCGAAGACAAAGAAATTAATTTACTGCCTTTACATAGCTGTAAATTTTTGAATTAACAGAACGTGTTCATGTGCATGCACAAAAATTTATAACCGTCAAGTGTAAACTACATTAATTCTTTGTCTTAACAATTCACTCCTGAAGATGATCTTGGATGAGATTGAAAATACTTGAGAAAATAAAAACAATAAGATAAGCTAGTGTCTTATTCAATCAGTTTAATTAATTGAGGTGCTAAATAAAACATTGATCAGGTAAGTGATAAATTTCATATATATATATATATATATATATATATATATATATATATATATATATATATATATATATAAGCACACTACAAATACAATGCTCAATGTAAGTTAAGCAAACAAAATATATGGAAAACACTACTTAAATTTTATTGTTGTCCACAACTAAGTTTCATGTGGACGTAAAGGTGGTTAATGTTACTGTCAATATAATACTCATAAAAGAATAGCCTATTCTTTTATATTGCTTCTTTTTTTTTCTTTTTATTATCTGAGGATTATGTGACAATAACATTAACAACCTTTACATACGCATAAATGATATATATTGTGGATACATGTGTTTGAGTAGACATTTGTTTAACAGAATAATTGACATCATCTAGTCGTCTGGGTCCTTCAAGAATACATAAAGGACTTCCCAATAGACATCTGTTCTTTAAACATAATTGATGTCTACTAGCCTGGTGTTACATATAAGCAACATTATTTGACATAATGCTAGTCATCTTTTGCCATACACAAATATTTTAATGATTTCATTACAAAACAGATAAAATCTGGGGTAAACCTAAAAAATATCCTTGAAAACTAGAACAAGAAAATAAGTGAAACTCACTTCTCATAAAAGCTTTCATCCATACTTTCTGTACTTAGTTGTTGAGGTACAGCTATTTCAACCGCCACTGGGACATCAGGTTCATTTACTGGTGACTGTGATGGTGTCAAAAATTCCTCTAAAAATAAAATAAAAAGCAAACTTGACTGATTTTTTTTTTAAATTCATACATTCTCATGAGGTATTTTTTAATGAAGAATATTATGAAAGTAACATTTTGCACTCAAGATATTAATATAAATTCAAAATGCCATTTAATCTTGCAATCAACTGTGCCAGAGTGTAGTAATGAAAGATATTTTTTTAGTTATCATTTTCATTTATAATACTCTTTTTTAAAATAGTTTTAAAGGATGATATATTAATTTTTACAAACCAATAATTTGAAGTCAAAAAAGAAATGTTTTACAATTATTATCAAAGAAAATAATAACTCAATTACTCTGGTTGTGCAGGCTTTGTGGTAAAGCTACTAAAAGTGTACAACACATCGATGACTGCATTCAGTTGGCACAAAAAAAGAGTAAAAAAGATACCATGTCAAATCAACCCTCAGAATGAACTTAGAACTATGCATGAAGCATGACCTTAAGTGTGCTTAGAGAGAAGTGGTGCAAGCATTCACCACTGTTAGTAGCCAAGAATGAGCAAGTGAATTTCATGTGAGACCCAACTATCTTTACTGACAAGCACTTGGAAAGCAATCACCCTGGTACTACACTTGTACACAAAAGAAACCAGGGGAGGATCCTGATGAATGTTGCGGTACCTTGGGATAAGAATATCAAGAAAGCAAAGCAGGCAAAATTACAGTGGTACCAACACTCAGCAGGGTAAATCAGAGAATGTACCAAGCATCAGCTGAAGTTGTTCCTTTTGTGGTTGGTGCATTCAAAAGTATTTCCAGGAATCTTTCTGATTCACATCATTGGGGCTGCACAGTTGGTAGCACTGCTTAGACAACTCATATACTAAGGAAAAAGTATTGCCTCTCGAAGCAGCAGGTAGGAACATATATGACCACAATCACCTGGCTGAAACATCTAAGAGTCGGTAAGCATCTCAAACAATAATAATAAAATAATAATGTTTATTGATTGTGTGTGACATGACAAGGGCTTTAAGTGGATAAGATCCTTTTAAAAATACCATAAAAATGAGATGTGTGAAATTGCTGACAATGCCAATAAGAAGAAAGTAAATAAATTTTATCAAGGAGATGATGGAAACATTAGGTCTATTCTTTATTCAAAGTTTCCAAGTTCAGCAGAGGGCCTCAATGACATTTCTTTACAAATGTCACCTTTTCTGAAGATTCTTTACTTAATTGATGTTCCTTACAAAATATATATTCTAGTTTAGATTGATATGCCTGAAACTCTTCAGTTATGTGTCCCTATGTATTCATGGTGAATGAAAACAAGGATTTCCCTTAAATTGAACTCTAGTTCAACTGATGTTAACTCTTGATTTTTTTTTTTTTTTACAAAATTCCACTAATTATGATGAAGCATTATATACTAAACTTTGGCACAACCAATTAGTACTATTGTGCTATACATGAAAGTTTAACAATGAATGTATATTCCATTTTTTTTTTTTTAATTACATTGTGCATCAAATAAAAAGAGAAGCCTTGAAAGAGAAAAGAAATTGTACTGAAATATGTAAATCTATTTAAAAGAAGAAAAATATTTAGTGGCTATAACTAGTAAAAATTACTTGAAAAATGACTTGGAACAGTTAAGCCTCAAGACAACTATACAGTAAATTATGTGAAAGAATTACAGTGAAAGTCTTCTTATGAAGAAACTATTAGAATGCATTTATTAGAGAACAGCATTTCAGGTATAAATTTATCTTGATCCAATATACTGGGTAAGTAAAATTCAATCAAATATGTTACTATTTTATAAGGTAAAGCAAAGAGCCTATTTTCCAGATGAGTCTTTGAGCTGGAAAATATTTAACAATGCAGCTAACATTTATTTTCTTGAGCAAAATTAGACATTATCAGAAGCAAATGTTATTCATTTTAATGAACTTTCTAATAAGTACCATGCATATAATATATAAATGATAATATATTACACGTATATATATATATATATATATATATATATATATATATATATATATATTTATATTCACACTTTTCACATATATATGATTATTATATTTTTTTAGCACATTTGAAATTTTGATTAAAAATTTTTTCACGTCAGCAGTGGGCCAAAGATTAATATGTGAAATTTAGTGCCTTTTTCCAGTAAAAAACACAGATTTGGAAATTCTTGCAAAAATCAAATAATTGTTGGATTTTAATGAAACTTTCAGAACTTATTCACAAATGAATTAAATTATTTTTGTTTTAGAAAATCTTTGTAAAAAAATTTTTTTTTTTTTCATTTGTTACCACCCACTTACTTAATTTTATGAAATTCCAAGGAATTTAATTTTCACCCTCTGCATCTTTGCCAAAAAGATTGAAGAATTAGTCATTCAAGCACATTTCAATTTGATTTGCTCTTTCCACAGTATTTATCAAATCATTTTTAACTGAAGGATTTTTTGGGGGAAAAAAATGAATAAATTTAGGTAAATAGTTTTTAATCGAAGGATGATCACTTGGAAGAATGCTAGTGATAGTGAGATAATTTTACCACATTACTTACCATCTTGGTCTTCAGAATCAGGTGATATCTGATTGAAGTTACCTGGCTGGGCATTCTGAAAACTGAGGTATCCCAAGTCAAAAACCACCATTGTTGTGTTTTGATCAAAGAAAGACTCAGGAACAATGATTTTAGGTGCAGCAATATCTAATTTGATTTCAATTCGATTTTTCTGCTGCAAAAGTAAACATTCACAGAAATTACGGATTAGAAATGTGATGACCTGACTCATAAAAATGACAACTATTATAGCACTGGAAAAACTGATCACTGCCAACAGACAGAAAAATAATTTCATTCTATCCAGTCTTTTTTCTAAAGTAATTATAATTTGGTTGTTTTTGCTTAACAGCATATCAACCTGTACATGAAGTACTTATGAAGATGTGAAAAAGAAACAACTATCTGATAGGATTACATTTGTTTTTTAAATAAGAACAGAAATGGCATGTATTTCTATATTGTCTGCAAATGAATAAATTAATTACAAATTTGTATTAGAAAAGACTTGATTCTTTGTCTTAAATTTAAAAGAAACTTTACCAAATTAAGAATTTATGTTCTTAAAGTCAAATTCCTTTTCTTTAGTCTTCATATATTAAATAAGTAATGATTTTTCATAAGTTAATAGAAGACAAAACTGAAATAATTCCATTGTGATTTGACAATAGGTAAAAATCACACTAAATTTGCTACTAAAATAAGTAGTTTTCAAAGTTAATTCATTAAGTAATGATTTTAACTTAGGATTTATATTAGTTTTGGAAACTAAAATAAGAACAAAATCAAAAAGAGAAGGCTCAATGATTATTATCTGAATTTTCAGATAAATACTTTCACTGAAACATTCTAGAGTAATTCCATTTTTTTATTCAATAGGTTATAACTGTTTATATCTTTTAAGTCAGGTTTTGTTCAAGAGTCACTTATTTTGGGTAAGGGTCTATGTAGCTAATATTTTCAGTGGCTGTCACTGTAAATAATGCAATTGTCATAAATAAATTGTATTTCTCTTTCTGCTAACGCCCTCATATATAATGTCATGTAAACATCTGTTTAACAATTACATATTTCATATTAACTTTGAGACACAAACAACAGAACTGGGAAATAATCTTTACTTACTGGTACTTTTTTGCCTTGGAGAAGTTCTCTCCATCGATTCTGTAGTTCAGTTTTGGTATGGAACTTTAAGTTCTGATATTTTTTGTAAGCAGCATCTGCAATGAAAAAAATGAAACTGGATACATTTATCACTATACAAATAGACACAGTATACATGAAACTATTTTTCAATTAAGGCTTGTAGAGGTGTCTTTATAACCTGGTCACTAATCATGGGTAACATAGCAATTAAAAATGTGTAACTAGCACAAAAATGCAATCATCTTTAGTTCTGGAGTTTTTAAAATTTTTTTTTTCCTCTTTCCGCTTGCAATTGTTGTTTTTTAACTGCAGCACTTTCCTCTCATTGTTAAATAATATGGATCAGAAATAAATAAAAAATAGCTTTTGATAAGATTTGAACTTACATCCCTTATCATTGAGAGTGAGATACAGTTCCTTGCTGTTGAGGTTATGAAAGCACATGAACATTCAGATTTCATCATATAGCTACATCCTCCCATAACCAAGTTACTCCATATTTGAATTTATATTTAGTACATAAATCTTCATAGTAATTTGTCATTTGATAATTCATTTTTCCTGTTTTCGGTCTGATTATAATGCTAGTATGATTTTAATTTGAAGTAATAAGTATCTTTTCATAACACTACATGCAGGTTTTCATTCTTAGTCATAGATTAAATAGTTTATTCCACACTACTGGGAAGCATTATTAGTAAGTTGGACAAAGAAAAAAAAAAAAAGAAAAAAAAAAGATCTCTTAATATAAGGTAGCTTATATGTATTTCTTAATTTTATAGAAACTGATTTCTACAAGACTATGCTTCAAATGGTTTGATTGGATTATAAATTATCAGTGTTATCAAAGGAAAACATACTTTACACTTTAGCATTCACTTTCCAATAAGAGCCAAATGTTTTTCTTGTATTACATTTGAAACATAAATTTCATCCTTGAGCAATTATGTAAAAAGGGGGAAGTCTACTGTCTACTATTGTTATTAGAGTGTGACAAAGTATTTTTTTTAAATATTGCCATCAGATGTAAATGGGATCCAGAAAATAAGTTCTGTTGATAATTTTGATTCACTTGGATACATCACAAAAACAAAGACTAAATGAGGTCATACCAGTGAGGGTTTGTCCTGTATCTTGGCAGCCAAATCCTGATTGTGACACAGATAAGAAGTCTTTCAGTTCTTTTACTGTATAAGGGTTACAGATGATTGCTATGGACTGAGTTTTCACATAGATCCTGCAAGAAATAAAAAAAATGAGAGAGGTTACCAAACATGATTATCCAGAGTAATTTACATGTTTTACAGGAGTTAGTGCAACCCATGAGAATATATATATATATATATATATATATATATATATATATATGTGTGTGTGTTTTAATAGAGTTAAGTTTGTATGCATGCACATGTATGAGAACATATGGAAACTGTGTGTGTATTATATATGCAGGATACCCTATAGACATTGGAAAGGTCACTTGACAGTAAATCTTTGCATATAAAATACTTATAGTCAGAAAAAAAATCACAAATAATAACATGACCCACAAAGATGATATACACATGAACATATATTTTATTAAAAAGCAAAAGAAAGAAATCTTTTCATCCAGTTATTTTAGAACACTATTCATTTGTTTAAAAGCCTAAAGAATGAAATGTATTACATAAAATTCCCCCCAACTTTCTCATTAATTTTCATTATATATATATATATATATATATATATAATGTATGTGTGTGAAAGTAATTACCTCAACAATATGATTTTCACTTCACTTATTCCCTTGTAAAAATTTGCTTACCTGTAAACTCTGGAACTGTTAGCGGGATTCTTTTCAAAAGTTAGTTCAAAGATTTTATCCTTTGGGTCAATCCCCGATTCAGCAGTAGGTATCTCCTGAATGGTGGTCGTTTTAGCAATAGGCTTGCCAAAACGCATACGACGGAATGTGTAGGATACTTCCTGTAGTGGAAAATGGACAATAAGTGACATTTAATTATTTGGTGTTTAAAATCAGTCTAGGGAATATTACACAAATGCATAGAGAGCAAATATACTTGCCTTTGGGTTGGGTAATATGAGATGTGGAAAACAGGATTCTTTGGTAAGCCTGTCTTGGAGTTCAAATATTCCCAAACTGATGCAAAATTTGTATGCACCAACTTGTGGTCGTGCCTCTACTTGTATATTTACATCATTGCACTCAGCAACCAACATATCTCGAACGGTGCTCTCTACAAAAGAAATCAAAATAAAGCATGTCAAGTAGGACCACGTGTGTCTATGGAAAATAAATATATATATATATATATATATATATATATATATATATATATATATATATATATATACACACACACACACTAATTACTTATAATAAAACAATATGTATGGAGAAGGAATATGCATACATATACTAGCAAAAACACACACAATACACAAAGGTTTAAAAAGAGATAGGGATCATAAAGATAAGAACAAAGACCTCCTTCCTTTGCCCTTTCTCTGATCAATCCTAAATGACTCCTTAGCAGAAGAATATTTTCTCCACAAGTCCAAGAAAAATTTGGATTACTACTACACACAAAAGACAATGGGAAAATATAAGAAAATTAATTCCTTTTAATATGTGGAAATAACCACTCTTTGCTTGATGAAAGTCATGAGACTGGAAACATGTGTAGCAAAAATATGGAAAATAAAGTATAATATATAAAAAAATCCACATTATAACCAAAAACATTTGCGCCTTCTCTCTTCTCTTTAAAATATACATTTTTCTCTTGTTGGAACAATTATAACCTCTCCCATATTATATATATCTCATTTCACCCTAAACAAAGTGATAATGTGATTAAGACACAAGAAGTGACTGAGTGTGAAAAAGTAAGTGGAAACCCAATCCTAAAGAGGAAACCTCTACTCCTGTTCAAAAGACTGGTAAGATGTGTGAACCAGGAAATAAGCAAACCTACCTATCTACTATTAAAACTTACCTTGATTTTGACTAAAAGCCAATATTGGTATGATATACTGTTCATATAAATATAAGTATTCTAAAAATTGTACCAACATCAATTGGTCAGTACCAATTTTATTATGAAAACATTAACTTGCATACTAAAATTGGACAGTGTATAAGCAAATGTTAACTTGAAGCAATAGATAAAGGAGTAATTTGTGAATATAATTTTATCAAAAAATGAGAAGACTTTAAAATGAACCAGAACATATATGGGCCTGTGGCCAAGTGGTTAGACATTCGCTTTCTGACCATTAGACTTGGGTTTGAATCTCACCAAGGTTGATTTGTCTGGAAGGTAACTTCTTAATGCTATTGGTCTGGAGGAGGAGGCAACCCTAGCATGTGGCACCTTTGTAAAGTGCCTGAAAATCATACCATGGGTTGACCCAAACCTTGTGAGTGAAATTGGGTAGATGGAACCCTTAGGGAACCGTCAGTGGTTGTGCTAGCATGAAGTCACAAGTCATTGTGACTGAAAGTTTGAGCATGCTGGCCTTGTTCAGACCGTTGATCACGCTAGATAATGTGCTCCCTCCCTCTCCCCCCCAGAAACTGTAACTAAGGTTCACTCGGCATAGTTGCAGTATAGACAACAAGTGGGATCTGTGGGTGTTGAACAAACACAAATGTGCCTGAGCAGGCGTCTGAAACAGGGATTAGGTAGCCACCCAAGTAGATAGGCATCCTCGAATATGAGTGGCCAGCCACAATATATATATATATATATATATATATATATATATATTCCAAGTTTGGAATATAATGTATAAAGTAAAAATAAAGCAACTCTTTATCATTCAAATATATTTTTGGCTACTGTGCATTTTTTTTTTTTTTTAAATGATGTATTGTTTATGAAATTTATATTGAAAACATTAATGGCTTAAAAAAATGATTATAGAAATAACTGGTTACCTCTGAAAGAAAATATTCTAGTGCATGACAATTCAGTATAAGATGTTTTTATTGTCATGTAAACATTACATATACATGCATAAAATCTGATGTCATTGCTGCATCCCAAATTTCTTAATGTAAGGGTATGAAGTTTATATCCCTAAAGGCTACTGTTTTAAAGTACTTTTTGGAGATGATAATTACTAAACTGAAAATTAGACTTATTATATATTTTTGTACAGCATGATGGTATTTGACGATGATAAACATGACTAGAGATAAAAGCAACAGAAGTGGACTTTAAATAAAATTATAATTTACTAAAAACGTTTCATCAGATTTTAAAGTAAAAAGAGAAATTTGCCAAAATCAAAGAGTCCATACCATGTTCAGTGCTGGTGAGGAGTTTCAAGGAACCTTTTTGGAGACAGAAATTCAAAGTGGCAAATACTTTATCTCTCTTGTAAAATGTGTCACTATCCATTGCTTTGTTCATAATATCCATCAGTTCTTTTTCTAAAATTAAAAATAAGAATAAAAATGCAATAAACTGAGAAAAAGTCTGAGTTTTCAATGCATAACAAAATAAAAAAAAATTTAATCATTATTTTAGGATGAGTTGTTGAATATACTTCATGTATAAAACAATACATTTTTCTCAAAATTTAAATCAGACAACATCCATGAAACACAAACCTACCATTTCTAACAAAGTAACAGGTTTACTAAGTATTAAAAATGAAATGCTACTTATAGACTTCTAATTTGGAATATAAAATCAGATGAAGAGACAAACATAAGTTGAATTAAATTGTGACAAAGTAGGTTACCAAACCACTCATGTAGGACAAATAGAGCTCCAAGGAAACTTGACAACAGTTAACAGAGTTTAAATGTTGAAAGATTGATTTTATGGTATAGAACAAAGGAAAAATGTGAGCGAAGGCTTAACTGTGTTTAATGATTATCAGAATTAAATGTGGTAAAATAATCTATTTAGAAAGTTAATTTGTTTAAAGACATTAGAAGATTGAAAAGTACTTAAGGAATTGAACCCAAATTTTTATTTAGAGATAACTTTGTACAACGAAGTATGGATTTTCCCTACCCTTACAATGTTAAGTAAAAATAATGACAAATTATTTACGAAGATGAAATCAAAAATTATCTTTAAAAACTCTTTGGATTAAGTTGTTTACATAAAGATCTATCGATCAGATTGGTGGAATATTTTTTAGAGAAAATAATGTTCAAGAAGAAAAAAAAGAAAATGACCCCAATCAATGAGCTGTGTGGTTTGTTCCCATATAAACAATGCAAGTAGAATAAATGGCTGCCCACCCCTCCCAAAAAAGAAGTCACAAAAGAGAAGAGGAGGGGATAGAGGAATGCAATTATAACATAACTGGACACATAATAGTAACCCCAAATTTCTTTGACAAAAATCAAACTAGCAAACAAATTCTATCATCATTAAAGTCATGAACAAGTTCAGATCCCTGCGCAATGCTGTCAAGCATTAGAACTTGGGAGAAAGGAAGATGCTAGTTTCAAATACTGATGTGCTCAACAGCTAGAATAGAGAATAAATGAAACACTTTAATAAGTGATGGTCAGTTTATTCATTAAAAGTTTTATGGGAGAATGTTCAGCACATAAAACAAAAACAGAGTGAGAGATTTTATGTTTTTCCAAGATAAAGGCAGTTTGTAAAGTTACAGATATTCAGTCTTTTTTTTTTCTTTTTTTTTTTGGCCATGATAATCATCTTGACATCAATCATGTCCAGAAAAAAAAATTTCAGATGTAATAAATATTTGTTGACTGATGTCACATCTGCAACTTGAATGTATAGGATCCAATATGTTACATTGACTTACCCAAGTCAACTCTTTCCTGAGATGCTTCTTCAGAAGACGATGGTTCTTCCGAGCCTTCTGGAAGGGTTTCAGGAGATAAAGGCTCTGAAGTGCCAACTGCCCAAGACAACCAGCCCTGCAAATAACCAGTCTTGTACTCTTCTGGAGTAGGTGTCACCGGGGTGCTGGTCTATAAGCAAAGAAAAAGTATATTTCATTTGAATGGATATAAATTGATGAAAGCAAAGATACCAACACAAGTATAAAAAGAGAAATATATTTGTGTATACAAGTTAGACATCACATGAAACAATGTGGGAAGTTGTATGAAGATAAGGTATTTCAATAAATGTAAAAGCATGCAGAGGCAAGAATAAAAATAACAATATATAGGAAAATATTTGTGGATATAAAAAAAAAAAAACACACAGCAAAAAAAATCCACAATATGTCTATACAAAAAAAAAAAAAAAAGAAAAAAAAAAGGTATATGAAAGAGTATGTGTGTATATATATATATATATATATATATATATATATATAGATATAGATATATATATATATATATATATAGAGAGAGAGTTCTTGGTATTTTTACAATGTTTATATGATATGCTATATATTTAAATTTGTAGTAGCATTCCCAGAAATGCCAGGGTGTAACCAACAAAATTTCGGACAATACTACTCACAGCATTTACCTCTCATATATATTATTGAAAACAAGCATGTGCCCTACTAAAAATTTCAGGGTAAAGCATTTGACAATTGATTTATCAAAACACAGATTATATCATGATCAATTTTGCAGCAAAAATAGTAAAACATATGCTGATTACTTTTTTAGTACGATCTTAATAGTGCAATCTTACTTAATAAATATCCTCAATATAATGAGAACTGTATACAAAAAAATAATTATAAACCATTTAATTGAAATTAAATTTCAATTAAGAAATTATTTGTTTACATGTGTGTATAAAAGGAACCGTAAATGTATTTAAACTGTGTGTGTAAAAGATATATTTAAATGTATTTTGAAAATTCAATAGTAGAACATTTATATCAGAATATATGAGAAAGTCACAGAATGATCATAGAAAATATTACCGTGAATATATAAGAAAATCCAAGTGAGACAAATGGCAAACATAAATGCCTGTCAAACAATGTGAGGGGGAAATATGTATATTTACATGTAAAATCAAATGTTCAGATAATAGTATGTATTTGTAAATGCATGTAAGTACAAAAAATAAAGAAAAAAACAATTTACAATAATGAAAGAATGTATATATGTACAAAACAATGACAACAAATGTCCCACCTTTGCTGTATTCTCTTTTGTTTCTTTGCTGACAGTATCAAAAGCAAGCAATCGCAAAACTTTAATTTCTTCAATGTTCAATTCATCTTCCATCTTCTTTTGGTGTTCCTGCAAGTTGTACGATTAAAAAAATAAGTTTATAAAATAAAATGAGACATGATAAGTATTTAACAACATTTTTTATATTAAAGTCATTCACTGAAATTCAGACCTTAGATTGTTCTAGCAATAAAACTGTAGTATCAAAACAGAAAATTTACTTACTAGCATGGTTGGAGAACTTGTCTGGCCAAGATAAGCACAGTAAGCTTTATAGTAATTAATAATATCACGAGCTCTTTGGACAGACTTTTTCAAGGAGAAATCCCGGGGCCGGCCACTCATAAAGAAAAGATGAGCAGTAATTGCATAGTCCCACCATTGCTTGGGGCTGAATCAGAAAAAAAAAATCAGAATATTAAATGAAAAATTAATCAAACTTTTGAATCTTAATCCCATTTATAATAATGGCAAAATTAACAAAATAGCCTAAAAAAATAATACATAGCTTGGAAATAAAAACAGTCTAAATTAGGTACCTCCACTTTCATGGAAAAAACAGCATAGCGTGAACACATTAATTTGTAAATTCTTGCAAAAATCAAATAATTGTTGGATTTTAATAAAACTTTCAGAACTTATTCACAAATGAATGAAATTATTTTTGAAATGTTTTGTTTTAGAAAAATTTGGTATTTTTCTTTTTAACCAGCCCCACACACACTTCCTTAATTTTATGAAATTTCACAAAATACTTTTCTATTTCCTGAATTTTTTTATTAGTTAAAAGGAGCACTCCTTGGAAAATGTAAATCACCGAATTTTTTTTTTTCAAACTTCTATTCTAACTGAAAATCTGCTTTGAATAGTAAACTAAAAAATGTAATGAAACTATGACATTATTTAATCAGAAAAGCTTTTAATTGCTTTCATAAATAAGTTATATTAAGGACACTATTGTCTGAAGAAATAAAATTTTTTCAATGAATAATGAATTTTTTCATTTTTTTTTTTTTTTTAAAATTTTAATTATAATAATTTATAATAATTTAAAAATCATTTAAAATTCTGTATTGGGCTATTTCCTGGATGTGATATTGTAATTAAGTGGAAACAAAATTTACAAATCCAAGATTGAAAAAAATTAATAAATGTTGTTTTACTATTCTATTTTTAAAATAATTTTTTTTCTTTTTTCACTTTAATTCGTCCCTTTTTTCATCTATGATAGCCTAAACATGTCATTATTATGAAAAGGTCACATGCTTGGATTGAAGAAAATGTTTTTGAGCTAATGTTAATTAAAATTTATTAATTAATGATTAAAAAATATTTTAATTATAAAAAATTTCCAAATCAATGTGTTAATTTTGTTGCTTATTTATTTTTATTTTAATTTCATCTGTTATTAAATCTTAAAATTAATTTAAGAAAATTTTGTAGTACTTTAAATTTTTTATTTTTTTCATAAAACATCTTCAAATGTAACTAAAAAATCAATATAATATTAGATAATTGCTGAAAATATGTTAATTTGTAAAAATTACCAGGTAGCTAGAAACGAAAAAAATGTATTCACTTAGATTTCGTAAATTTATGTCAATTCTGGTCATCCATACTAGCTGTCATCACCTTTGAACTTATCTATATGTCAATAAAGATCAAAGAAAATCAGGACCCATTCTTAAGAAATGATTATATATTACTTTTTCATGCTATAGGTAAGTAATATTTATTTCAAATCAGATTAATTTAACTTTAAATTTTCTACTTTTACTCAAAGAACATGTCCAAAATATATATTTTATTTTTAGAAGATTTTTAAAACTGATAATATTTGTTTTGTTTACAATTTCTTAAAATTAAGAAAATGCCGCTTTTAAGAAAATTTTTTTTAAAATCGAGCAAGTATTTGATATTCCAATCTATATAATTTCTATTTGAAATACACCAGAATATTTTATTTACTGGAAATAAATTTAATCATTTAGCTTTCAATTAAAGCTGAAATGAAATCTTCAAGAATGCTTTTTCATTAGGTATCAAAAATTTATAATGAAAATAGTGGAGGTACCTAGTCTAATTGCAAGAGCAAAATTTAATTTAATATATATATATATATATATATATATATATATATATATATATATATATATATATATGTGTGTGTGTGTGCATAGTATATATGTATGTAACAACTGACCTTTCTTTAACACTGACATCTGGTCTCCACTTCAAACATCGATAGAGCCGATCTTGTTTGTCCAGCTCTCGTGTCCAATAAACAAGCAACTTGTACTGAACATTGGAAAGTGACACAGCCACTTCTTCGATGGTAATATCAATGCTGACCCGTGGCATGCTTGCTGATTTTAAGGGTTTCTCACTGGTATTTCTTTTTATATGAGCCCTGGCATTGGTCGGAAACAAAGTGTAATCATGACTCTGCACAGAAAAAAAACATAATTAATTTTCAAAGCCACATAAACATGTTAGCTGCAGACTTGAGAAAAAATTATTTTTTTTTTAAAAATAACATTAACTAGCAGTATCTGCAAAAAATTCAGTTTTCCTATTTGTATATTCTGATGAATCATAATTCTTGAATTAATAATTGAATAACTTCATTGCAAGTTCTACCCATAAAAATTGTATCATTAAATTTTAGAGCTTAATAACTTTAACAAAATATTGCAATAACAATTATAAGTAGGAATGCAGGCTATTATTTAAAGAAGTAAGAGGGTACAAATTAAGATTTAAAACTGATAAAGTTTTCTATTCCAGTGAAACATTAAATGCATGAGAATGTTATTGCCTCTCTATCTTCCTTTTTATTTCTTATTTTGTAGGCTTTCTTTTCCTTATTAAAACCAAATGGTGTCTCCGATTTTCCTTTCCTCACAATCAAATCATAATGGTTCATTATTTACCTGACATAATGGCAAGGCATAACACACATGCTAATTTTCTAACTAATGGAACAACAAACAGAATTATAATATGATGCTAGAATAATCTCTGAGTATAACTCAAATCTTATAGGAAGCCATTAATTTGCCTTGTATGTCTTCAGCTATCAGAACGCCACTTAGATAAATTCAGGTAAATCAATTTAAAAAAGAAAAAAAGAGAAAATATCAGATAAGCATAATAAAGTTAATTTTATTATTCATAATTGCAATATTTAGGATTAATAAAATTTCTAATTAACAAATGTCAAAAGAGGCAAGAATATTTATGCTCCCTTTTTGGCCTGACTCGAAATACAGCAATCATATAACACTATTGTAATGCCACACCTAAGCTACACTTGGAAAATTACTATAACATCATTGTAATGACTGAATGCTCCTAAACTAAAATGATCTTTGGCAGAGACCAAAAAAATCAAAATAATATGCTGTAATATTCAGTTGACTTAAAGTTTCAAAAGCTATTATGTATCAAAAAGCTACTTTTTTTTTTTAATATTAGATCAAAATAACAAGTCAATCATAAAACATTAAATGATCCAATTTATACTTGTTCTTTGAACCATTACTTTCTTAACACATGAGCAGAGAAAGCTAATATTTCTCAAATAACAGCAATGTGCTACTTACATTTACTTATGTTAAATGTTGCCCCAAATAAACCAACAGACAATTATACTCGAGTTCAAAGGAAACATGATAGCAATGCTGTTATTTAAAATGATTTTAGCTTGTACAAGAGTACCTTGCTTGTTGTCAAATGATATTAATGTTTATAAAGCCAGAAAAGGCAACTTGAAGCTTCCAATAATATCAAATAAAGAGTATCAGTGGATTATAACGTTTAACAAAGTCTAATACATATCACTGGTCACGAGACTGAAAGATGCAATTTTATATTTAAAAAACATTTCTTTTAATGAGATAAATAGCAACTTCCAGTATAATATGAAAAATGCTAGCTCTTTGTAAAGTTATTCATAGATCTACATGACATAAATTGAAACACTATAAATTTGCATTATTTACATTCAGACTATTGTCCTCATCTTTGTTGTTTTTATCTCAACATTTCATCTGTTGTGTTATCCAGTCTTAATCCGGTGTATGTCAACTCAGGTAATCTACAGGGAATTGCAAACTGAACCATTTATTTAATCTACAGGGATAGACTGTTTTCATTCCACAGTCCATGTCTAGTGATATCTCATCTAGTTCTTTTTTCTTAAAATACTGTACAATTATTGCTCACCCCCTTTTTCCACAGAATCTAAGTACACACTGTCTGGCCCAGGAATTGAACTCACAATTATGTCACTAAATGAAGACTGGAGGTTACAATAACGAAAACATGGTAAAGACGAGAACAATAGCTCAAATATAATAATGGCAACTCCTCATACCAGAAATTCAAACAGAAATTTAAAATTGCAGTAAAGCATTTTGATCACTATACAAATTTAAGTGAAATTATTTCCCATGTAATACAACCACAAGTTAGGGCTGGTTTAAAAAGTATATTTAAAAAAAATATCAACTTTGGCAACAAAAGAATTTTATCAAATTAAAACTAAAATTTTTAAAAATTTATTTTCTGGAAGAGTAGTCATATATGGGGTAGTTAGAATGTTCACTTTCTGACCATGAGACCAAGGTTCAAATCTCATCAGGGTTGATTTATCAGGGAGGTGACTTCTTGATGTTGTTGGTCTGAAGGAGACAATATCAGTGTGCAGCATCTTTGGAAAGTGCCTGAAAACCAAGCTTTGTGAGTGAAATTGGGGAGACAGAACCCTTTGGAGCTGTTGATGGTTGTGCTAGCACAAAGTCACAAGTCATTGTGACCGAGGGTTTGAGTGTGCTAGTTTTGTTCAGACTGTTGTTTATGCTAGATAATGCACTCTCTCCCAGAAGCTGTAACTAAGGTCCATTCAGCATTGCAGTATAAACCACAGGTAGGCTCTGGGGGTGTTGAACCTAAACAAATGTGCCTGAAGAGGCGTCTGCAATAGGGCATAACTAGCTGCCCTAGTAGATGGGCATCCTCGAATACAAATGGCTAGCCATTCATTCACACACACACACACACACACACACACACACATGTATATATAAAATAACCAAGTAAGCAATCTGAAAAATCAACCAGTTTAAATTTTTAAATTAAAAAATACTTTACCTCGTATCCATTTCGTAGACTCTTTTTACTTTGCAGAAGCTCCTAAAATAAAACAAAAAAAATTCAGTGAAAACTAATAATGTAAGGCTGTTTTACAAGTCAATGTGAAAAACGTCAGTGAAAATTAATAATGTAAGGCTATTTATTCATTTTACTCATGGATATTTAATAGAAAGAAAGTTTTATTTATTTCTTAGTTAAATTACAATCTCACATGTAAAATGTTACTGAAATACCAATGATTGCATCAAGAATAGCAAGTTGCTATAAGTTATCTGAAACACCATAAAGGTGTTTGATTACTGAGTAAATTACAAGTTGCCACACTGGCAGTTCAATTTCCATCATTCATTGTAAATAAGGAAAATACAATTGAATTTATCAGTAGATTTATTTGTAAGTAAATATTTTATTGACTTAATATCATATGAATATTATACTGAGCTAAAATGACTGCCATTTTCAAATGATAAACTTTCTACTTAAAAAAAGATTAATTTAATGAAGATCTATTAACACTATATTTAATATACTTTATACACTTTTTTACAATCAAGAAAATTTAGCCAAGCAGTTTCTGACACCTATAGTAATTCTGGTTTCATTTCAATTTGCACTTCCATAGGAAAAAAAATGCAGTTTTCTAACTTATAAGAAAATAATATAAAATTCTAAAATATCTGACACCAGAATCTTTTTGTCAAATATTAAAAGAGAAGAAAATATAAGAAAATGTAATGATAACAATTATCTTTCATTTATTATAGCAAGCAATATGGGCATACATTAATTTCATCATTAACTCAGCAAATTTGAAATTTCAGTTTATTTTAATATCTCATTTTTTGTAGTGGTTTCTACATTTTAATTATTACTGTCAAGTTCTAAATATTGACACTTCAGCTTTATTTTATTGATTTAGTTTTTTAAATACGTTTTATTGAGAAATGACCATATACTAAATTTTGTTGAAAGCCATGCACATTGTATATTTTTATTCAGTTGTATGGATATTAACTTATGACCCTGGGTTTCATGTTTTTATGATCATCAGACAAACTGGTTTATTTTTTAAAAATGGATCTATTTATGCTTATCAGCGTTTGATTATGTTTGATGGTGGGAAGGGGAATTTTTTTCTGTGTTTGTTTGGGATGACACTTAAACACACAGACAGATACGCATACATACAGTTGTACGCATTTTAGTTCACACAAACTCACCCATATATTCAATTTGGGGTTAGGCGCAGATACACATCCATGCGTTTAAACATACATATATATGCAACCATAATTCTATTTCGGTGTTCAGACTGTAGCATTTATATGTAGCAATGTTCTCTCAACAAGGAGCAGATGTGGTCATGACGCTTTTCAGATCAGCCATCTGCACTGTCAGACAAACTTATACTTGCTCACATACACATGTAGATGTGCACATACACTCCCATTGGTCTGGGACTTCCACCACCACTTTGGTTAAGTTGGGTTCTGTTTGTGGATATGGTGATGATGATTGTATTTTCACAACTGAATATGTAAAGCTCTATCACTGATATTGAGCACTTTCTACTGCATATTTTATATATATATATATATATATATATATATATATATACACACACACACACACACACACACAGCATTTGTTCATATAAATTCAAAATCAAATGTGAGGGTTCAAATTATACAAGAGTTTAATGTTTAGACAATTTTATTTACATCAACAAAATAACAATTATATACAGTGGGCCCACTATTATGAAGCCTCTCTTATAAATTCCCTGTACCACTCCAGTACTTGACTCCTCCTGCTATCCTCTGTCTCTACAAGAGCCAGATCAGGCTGAAAATTAATTACTCTTGCCATATATTGGTAGGAGCTTCCCAATTATCACCTTCCAGTCTCAATAAAGTGCAAGAGTCTCTTCATCCTTGTGGGTGACGAATTAATTTCCACCCTACAAACCATCTCACAGATGAAATGTCACAAGCTTCTTGCTGCTCTATTGCTATTTCCATGGAAAATGTTCACGCAAACTACATTCGTTAGTTCCACTAGTTCTAACCTTCACAGCTAAGATCTGCCATGCCACAGACATTATAACAAATCATCCTCATTCCATTCATATTCCATTGATGAGATACAAGTTCCACTTGAACAGCTGCTTACTGATCACAATTCCGTAGAGGTTGCTTCCCTGATCACTACAATTTTAACCCATTCAAGTCTAGGGTTAACTGTTATCTTCCTCACATATCTGCATAAACTGTGCCTCTTACTCTGTGACTCTACCTCGAGTGGCTCTCAGGCCTTGTGCATGGTGAACATCATAGTAAAAAAAGTAAATTCATGTATACACCACTGCTGTTGGGTTAGGACTTGTAATGATTTTTCATGAGCTATCCAAAAGTTTCATCTTCACTCTTTTAAACCAGCTGAAGTCTAGGAATTAGGAGTTTCTAGAATGTGTCAAATAAATGGGCTATAAGAAAAAAATCTATTTACATGGAATAAAAAAAAAAAAAAAATTCTTCCTTTAAAATAAATTTACCAAGATAATTTTTTTTTTCATAAAAGACAAGTTTAGCTCAAAATTGAGGCTAACATATATACCACAATAAAACTTCTTTCTTTTTTTTGCTTTTTTTTTTTTTTAAAAAAAAAAAAAAAAATACACAAAAGTAGGAGATTGAATTTTATACAAGTAAATACAGTAACACTGATCTGATGTAACCGATAAGAATATCTTACTATTATTAATAATAAAAATGTTTATACTCTGCAAAAATTAGTTATTATATTCCTTTTACTCAATTACTAATTAATCATTCCAAATACTAGAAAATCTGAATGGAAATGAATATTTGCCAAAAGCTCGAAAAGAGCAAAAAAAGCAAAACAATTGATGTCAAACCATTTTGTGTTTATCAATGTCAGATCTCCAGAAATCCATTACCAAACACTGAATCCTTGATTGATCTTAAGTTATATTGATTTTCTTCTTGTTCAGATTACAGATATTTGTATATTTACATAGTATGGAAGGAAATTACAACATATTTGATACAGCTGAATGATACACAATCAATATATTTTTCTTTTTATTAGGTTATTTTTGTTATTACAACTGAGGATGAAAATAACCAAGAGCCAAGGTATTCAAAAATGATAAGTTTCTAAAGAATAGACAATTATAAAATGTGATATCATTTTAGCTTGTACCTAAAACACATTTAATTTAAATCTAACAGATGAACCTACCTAAAACTTAACCTCTACAGGTAATCTAAAATCTATTGAAATGTAAACAGTAAATTAAATGGCAGTTTTCCAATTTTGTGACAAATTTTTAAATATTATTTACTAGTGAACAAACATTTTCTATTTATCTTCCTCGCTGCCAGAAAGTATTTTTGTCCCACATTTTATGGCTTTACTTTTCTATAGTGAAAATGCAAGACTAAAACAAAATATAAATTAAAATTAAACTCTGGGATGGATGCAGGTATGCCTAGTATAATGCCATTTCTAAAAAATGTGTGTGTGTGCCAATAAATAAACAGATTTGCATATTTTTTAAAAATGCTATGTCCTTTCTGGATGTAAGTAATCATAGCTCCCTCCAGATGCCTTTTCTTTATTATCAGAAAATTGCCATGACTTCTTGAATTCAAAGTTTTCCTTCTCCTATGGTGATTTGCACAGAAGAATAGAAAGCCCAGTCTACACTACTATTTAACTCGGAGCTGAGAAGGGAAAGAGATGGATTCATGCCTTTTGCAAAGACAATTGTGTAAAAGGAAACATAAAAGACCTGGCTAGAATTTGGACTTGGGCTTACCAATTCAATTTTGTGCCAACAACTGTTACGCTACCCACACTTGCATGTTACAGACATGTAAACATCAACATTCAAAAAATTTTTATTTTTAAATAGATCAAATGAAACAAAATTTATTAAGTCATTAACATATTTCTAATTATCTGTAACCAACCTTGCTCTTTATTAAATGCCAAAAGCATTTCTCTAGAGTTTGATGCTCACATTTTCCTAGTCTCATGTGCCATTCTTAGATGGATCATCTTTTGTTATTGATTATCAGTGGACAAGTACAATATCAAAGTAAGGAATTCTACTAGTTTGTTTTTTTAAGAAAAAAAACTTCCCTTCAACAAGGTAAATTACTAAGCTTTGTCTGTGGCACTACAGATTGAACTATTAACTTTAGCATCATTCAAATCACTAAGTCATCAAAAGAGTGTAGAATAAAGAAAATGAAACTTGCTCTATGAGGCATACACATATTGGCATAGTTATAGATCTTTTCTGCATTTTTGTGATAACAAAAGAGAGATAAGCACTTAGTACATAAAGAAATAAACACAAAAGATATAAACATTCTAACAAACAAAAGATATGGACGTTTTGACAAATAAACACAAAAGATATTTAACAGTGACAAACACAAAAAATAAAGTTCTGACAAATAACTCACAACAATTTCTGTCATGGTCAGATCTCCCACCATTTGAGCATTGGTGTCAAAATAAAGAGACAGTTTGTTCAATTCAACCAGTTTAAACATCATATCCGTGTTGTCACGATAAACAAAGCATGGTTTCTAGAAAAGAAAAATAAATAATACATTATCAATTTAAAGATGAAGGATGTAAACCAGACAGTAAGCTCACAGTAGAAGGTAAGAACAAATTATTAAATGCTTAAAGGACTCTTATCTTAACTGCCAACAATCACTATCCTCTTCTGACATGAGTAGAGCTGATCATTTTTAAATGGTTTTAACAATTCATTATTCTTAATCTATGTAAAAAGCTGATTATTTAATGGCAGTATTTCTGTAAAAGAAGTTCAATAATACTTCTAACAAAATTATCATCACATAACTTACAGGCATAAATAAAATATTTAATTTTTTTTAAAAAGGGGCAATGTCAATCTCTTAATTGGTTCTTCTTACCCAGTTTTCATCGGTACTTTGAGCAATTAAACTGTCAATATCTACACCAACAGCAAATGGACAAGAGGGATTCATTTCATTGTCTTCATAACGTATGTGAACATCATTGACACGAAGCTGAAATAGAAAAAAGAAAAAAAAAAAAAGAATTTTAAAATGTTTTTTGATTTGACTATTGCAATATTAAGACCATTTCACTAAAATTTAAGTTTTACTTTCTATTGTTAAAGTGCAATTTAGTTGTTATGATACAGATTCCAAGGAAAAAAATGTTTTAGTTCATATAAAAATTAGCCTTTTAATAAAAGTAAACCAAAACTTTATAAGTGTATTATTTTTTTTATGAAAAACGTTTTTCCAAATTACTTTATGCTTGAATTTTCCTTACCTGCAAATTTTCTAGGATGTTACTTGCTATTGATGTGAGTGTGACGAGCCATGAACCAGATGCTCCTTTCACTTTCCCAGATTGCTAAAAATTAAATAATTTAAATAAAACAATACAACACAAATAAGATAAGATACACAGAAATATGAAATATATCAAGCAGACAAACACATGATTTTTGCATTATTCTTACTCTTAAATGTCAGCAATCAGAAAATTACATTTTGATATTTTGGTAAATGGTCAAGTATTAAAGTGATGTTCAATTGGAGGATTTCTTACAAACTTTCATAAGCAAAAGTAAATTTCTAAGAACCTAAGTGACAGCTTCAAAATATTCAGTTTCTCAAGATTCTTCCAGGTTTGCAGACAATATACAAGTACAGCAATTCTTACTAGCAGATTTTTTTTTTGTTTTTCTCTAAAAGTAACCTAATCTTTCTAAAACCTACTACTTCAATAATCAATTAATGAAATCTGAAATCTGATCATGCATTCTAGAAGGGAGATATACACACACATTAATTATTATACAATATGTCAATTACTAACAGATGGCATTCAAGGTTTATAAATTGTCAGTTATGCTCCCTGATTTTAACCATTTGGGGATATATTTTTCTCTATCATACAGACTGACCTCATTACATTAATAAACATTTTGATGAATATATTTTGTTATTCATTTTTCAGTTTTAAAGAAACTGAAGAATTGCTGCTATTAGTTAACATAAAACAAGATTCATTAGCTTTGTGTGGCACAATGGTCCCCCACACACACAATCAGCTGAACACACACAAAGTCAAGTTGGCCCTAAATGATGTTATTTGAGACAGAAGTATCAGGTGTTGACCAAAAGGGAAGAAAATAATAAATAAATGAAAACATGGGGTCAAGTGACATTTGGTCAGATGTCAGATATTTTCACCTGCATCCTTATACAAGTAGAGTCCTAGGTAGGACAGGATTGAAAAAGGATCCATCTGTTCAGTCATGATGGTAGCAGTTGCTCAGCAGAAGAAAGAAGAGGCAAAGGGACCTATGCACCACCTGCTTACTATCAGAGAGAATACTAGGTCCAACTTGGAGCGCTAGTGAAATAAAACACCAAATTAATAAGAATTGGGCTGATGTCTTCATTTCTAGCCATGGCATTGATTTCATCGTCGACCTTCTTGTGAAATGTGCAGCAACTCTTTTCTAGTGTTTGTGCACACTTATGCAAAAATGAGAATCTAAACACAATGTGAAGCTTGATTTGTCCAGCTGGTTAAAGAGGGTGGGGGGCACTGTTGTATGCTTACACCTGCACTTCAAATTAATTAACAAATGGATAAAAAAGAACAGTGTAAAAAGAAGAAAGAAAAAAATAAACTGATGAGCTCACCTTCAGCATATCATCAACAGTGTCAAGTGCAAATTGCTTTTTGCTGTGGTAGAGTTTTTTCCGTTCTATTTTATCACACTGCAAGACAAAAATCAAAGTGCAATGGAGTTTATTAAAAGTAAAATAAAATCTATATACTTATAGAATAACATCTCAACAAGTATTAATATTTTCATAATTCTTTTTATTTCATCATCTCTTTCAGACAAATAGAAGTAAAGAGATTACATCTCATGTCCTTTTATAAGCTATGTACCCTTGTCTACCAAATATAATTGCTGACATGTTTAGTTCCTTCAATTTCCACCCCCAGCATGGTATGGAATGCTTCTTTTTCAAATACTTTTCTCTACATTACAATTATTTGGTTCCAGGAATCAAGGATTCACCACTTATTTTCTAAGTTGAAAAATTCCCACTAACAATGACTATTCCAGATAGCACATGTATTTGATATGAGAGTACAATCATTTCCTGAATCATAGCCAAACAGTCCCAACAAGAATACAACAACTGCCTTCTCAATCCGAATATTTTTTAAGGTGTGTGTGTATATATATATATATATATATATATATATATATATATATATATATATACACACACACGTGTGTGTGCATAGGTAATAACCCATTGGTATATAATCCAAGTCAATCCTATTAATACAATATAAAATATTAAATATTAAAACTGATTCACACAAAGAGCTAAATATTTTAATTAAACAGAGCAACATATTTTATACAATAGGAATTAAAATTAAATTAGGTTAATGATCATTTTCACCTTGTATATTGAAATATTAAATATTAAAACGGATTCACACAGAGATCAATTTAACTTCTTTCACTTTCTTTTTTAATTTTAAGTGTAGATTTTTACTTTTATTTAATCTTCCTCTTATTGGTTCATTATATTATATATTAGATGATAAATATTAACTGTTTTTTTCTTGTAGATGGAAATTATTTAATATAGATTTAATTTATAATATGTTGATTTAAATGTAGATGTTAAATGGATACTTCTTCCTAAGATAATATCATTTCAATATATTAATTTTTATATTTTTCTTATTATTTTTCTGATATATTGTTTATTTTTTATATATATTTTTTATATATCTAATTCTGAATTATCTCTCTTTCATATAAATGGGTTCATCTCTCTATTTTTTATTTGCTCTTTTTTCTTCCTCTGTCTAGTCATTTTTTTTTTCAATAATTTATCATTCATTGCATATGTACATCTAACTGAATTGCTAAATTGGTTGCTACATAAGGCTAGTGAGCATAGATTACCCTTACTATGTAACTCCTAGCTGGAGAAGAAGAGATGGAGTGATGCTTTCTCCAAGGGCATTAGCGTGAAGTGAAGGCAACAAACTTAGCTAAAATTTAGACTTGGCACACTGGTACCACTTTCTGCACCAATAACCATTATGCAACCCACACATCCGGCTTATAAATTTATGAGGTGCAGTAATGATCCTGACCTGGCATCTCAGCTTCAGTCCCTTATCCATTGCCATAATGTAGCTTCCATGTACTTTTTCTATAAATACTTTCATGGTAATTGTTCTGGTGAACTTTCCTCTATGACAGCTAGACTTTATAAATTTAAGTGCAGTACTAGATTGGTAACAAGGTCTCGTCAATTTACAGTTGAATCGGCTAGATGTAACTGTAAATTCTATGCTAAGTTTCTACTCTCACATTTCTCATTTGTGGAACTTTCTTTCAGCTTCATGCTTTCCAGCTAACTTTGATCTTCAAAAATTTAAATGAATGTCAATTGTTATCTACTGTCTTCTTAATTCCTCTTCTTTTATTGTTCTCACTTCTTAATGTTTCTCTTTTTCTTATTTGTTCACACTCAGTATTCCTTCTGTCTTAATACTTTACTGTCTTGATTGGAGTGAAATAAAAAAAAAATAAAAATTTTTTTTTTTTAAAATGTCACTAATAGCTTGATTATACACACACACACACACACCAATAAGTCTATAGACTAATGATGAAAAAAAAGCATTTATCTGCTCCTTTCTTGTCAATGTACTTAACCCAGCACCACTCTTCCATTAACCACAAAGATCAAACATTATAAAGTGAAAATAACTGTCAAGTTATAGACTTGTGTATGTGTATAATCATGCTGAAAGTACCAATTCTCATCAGGTTGTTAAAGTTAAGCATCATCAAGGTTGATCAATAATAAGATAGGTGACCACTTATGAACCCCCAGGTACTGTAAGCAGCTTGTAGCCTTGTATTACACTAAACAAAACTTAGTAAATAATATATATATATATATATATATATATATATATATATATATATATATATACGTTACTTAAGAGAAAAAATATCTCATTATAAATGGTATATCAAATTGAATAATCAATTAGTTATCAGTTTCAAGGTAAATATGAGAGAGACAGGTGTTGAGTAAAATAAATACAAAAGCTAAACCCAGCATTATTCAAAATCACAATGAACTATTGAATTTCTGCTTTCTTCCCCAGAAGGAACTTATATTCTAGTACAGTTGTCCTTTGTTTATCATGGTTAATCAGTTCCAGACCCTACCATGATAAGTGAATTTCCACCAAGTAGGATTCTTTATTTATAAATTGAATATTTTCATAGTTAGGGCATAGAAAACTTGTTTACAACCTTCTAAATATGGTTTTTGACATTATAAGAGCTCCCTAGACATGAAATACCCACACTGTAGTTACACTTATATTACCCAACGTATTAGAGAAAATAAGATATATTAGATGTTATAAATATCATCATCATTATTGTACATTAAAATCACACACAAAGTTCTTGTATGTACATCACTTCATCATCAAACAAGGTGCATTATTTTCCTAGGTTAGCATGAAGCTAGGAAAATAATGCACCTTGTTCGATGATGAAGAGATGCATTGCACAAAAAAAAGGTTACTGCTCCTGTAAATCATTTGCATAAACATTCTTTATATTTTGGAAGGATTAATAAGCATAATTTGAATATTTCTTTTCAGCACATACTTGAAATCAATTATCCTGTTTGCATAAATATCTTTGTATGTAGTTTTGGTTTTGTTGCCAAAAATAAAATTTGGCATTATTTTAATCAAATACTATTGCCTTGTTGTTTTGTATTTGGTTTGTTGTCAACTTACTATCTTCTGCACAATTTTGTTTGTGGACTCCTTTGTACCAACACACAGCCAAACACATCACCAACAAGTGATCCACAGCACACCTGCAACAATAGCCAATCAGTGAACAGCACATTCTGATTGCCTTGGTTTCACCACACCAGATTTTTGAATAATACAGGCCTGAAAAAAGTTATTGCCCACACACAAGGAGTGGTTGAGCAGCTGCACCTGGCATTAAAGGATTTGTGGGGTTGCTCAAATACATAGGCCTACAGTAATTTTAATACAGGGGTGTATAATTGACTGAGATAACCAAAATTGCGCTGTATTATTTTCACCGTCTCAATCAACTGAAGGAACGGCTGTGTGCCTGCTCCTGAGATGTAGGTAAGAACTTTTTCCAACCCTAAAGTAGACTGTAGTCAACTATGAAGTAGTGAGGAACCGCATTGATTTTTTTTAATAAAAAAATCTGAAAAAGCCACGAAAGTCAAAGTGGTGAGGGACGATGGTATTATTAATTTTCTTCCAAGATCATCATTTGAGAAATGTTAAGTTAATAAGCAGAAATTAGTCAGGAATTGTTTTTCAGAAAAAAAAAAAAAACAAACTGATGGCTTTGTACCAAAAATAACTCATGCATCATCAACCAGGAAATATTTACAATCATTAATGACTGTGAATCTTCAACAATACAAAAGATTAATATTTCAAAGTAAGATATAGCTATAAATTTAATATTACCTTTTATACAACGTACTTTTTTTTATCAATTCACCCCAAGCAAGGCAATAATATCACTAAGATGCAAGTGGTTATTGAGAGTGAAAGAGAATATACCTCTACTCCTGTTCAAAAGACCAGGGAGAAATGTGAACCAGACAATAGGCAAACCTATCTACTCCTATTGAGAAAAAAAATAGTAAATAAAGTTTCAGAGTTTAAGGAGACATCAGAAGTATAGAGTTGAAGTAGACTTTAGAAGGAACCAAAAACCCAATCCTGAACAGGAAACAAAGGATAAACCTCTATTCCTGTTCAAAAGGCTGAGGAATAATTCAAATTTTGTATTTGATATAAAATTATCATTGAAGGATTCAAGTTCTAAGATCTGTTGCATATACATGTTCTCACCATTTCTATGCAAAATTTCCTATTCCCACTTCTCAAATACTTCCACTTGTATAAAAAAAAAAAAAAAAAAAACATTACTTCTTTTTTGATAAAGTCTCATGAGAGGAATATCTTTTTTGACCATATACTTACTCCCATTACTCCATAATAAATAACACTTTAAATTAAACTGATACTAAGATTGTTACCATATTATCTATCAGTTTACTTTTCTTCATTTTGTTTTTATAAATAAAAATTTCAAAGAAGTAGACTAGTAAATGTATAAGCTGGTGGTGGAATGATTCAATTTGTTTAACAGCATATCAACTCCTTATGGGTTATTTAATGCCAAAATTTTATTTTCTTGGGAGCTTTGATTGATTGTGTTTAATGGCCTCTCAAGATCTTGTGGCCATTTAGAGTTAAACTGATTGTGTTGTAAACATATTTTATAGGTCATCAAGAATGAATGAAGGGAATTTTTTTTTTGTGTAAACACTTATACATTTTTTTATATATATTTTATTGTAAAGTCCAATGTAGGAATATTTCTTGAAGGCATATGACAGCAGGAAGTTAATTTGTTATAAGTAGTAGTTTATCTATGTTTGCTTTTACACCTTGACAATTCCAGTGTATAATATTTTTCATCATGTTTATGTATTAAGCTGTTATGAGTTTTTGCTTGTTCAGTTTATGTTTAGTGGGTGAAGTGTCTGTAATTTCTATGCTCTCCAGTTTGTTAGGGCTTTGTTTGTTGTCATGTTTTGTTTGGAAATTTTTTGTTTCTGCTTGTCTGTTTCGTCTTGTTTGATTTGTTTTTCTATTAGATTCTTTTGGCAATCTTTTTCTGGATGATGACCATTCCCTTATTTGAGGTGAGATAGAGTTTTGTTCATCTATGCTCATTTCGTTATTCAGTGATGTATTGAGTTGTATTATTTCTTTTATGGGTCTTTTTGTTTCTCTTGTGAATATTTGGAAGTTTCTAGTTCTTGAAAGATTTTTGTACTTTGGACTGAGGTTTTCAAAGTTATTTGTTTTCTACTCCTGGCTTCTTTTTTGTTTTGTTGTGAAAATTGATAGGATTTGTTTTGACTATGGGTGTTTGGTTTGTATGTGGTAAACTAAATTTTAGTAGTTCTATTAGTTTTTGTTTTTTTTTAATTCATTTATTCGAGTTGTGAGATTTTGGTTTCTTATTGTGTTGTTTTCTTGTATGACATTTTTGTGATTTGTTATTTTAGTAGCATCTGTGTATGATGCTGGAAATCAGTCAGTTTTGATTTGTTTTTCTAGCTTCTTGGAATGAGATGTTTTGTGTGTATTTTATTCTCATTGTTTTTCGTTTTTCCAGGTGTTACACAATTTATAATTTGCTTAGTGGTTCTGTTTGCAGTTTGGGCACAAAGGAGGCCTTTCACAGGGTTACTCTATATGGTCAGTCTTGAATTCCCTACATCTTCAACAGACTAGTACTATCATACATTGATCCTGTAAATGGCCAAATTTCTGGTTAAGTTATGACATCTATGGGGGTTAGGGATGTATGTCTCTACCTTGAATATTGTGTATCCTATTTTTATTTCTTTCAGTAGAATAGATTCATTGAAAGACAAAATGTAGTTTGTGTTTATTGATGTGCCATTTCTTTTTATTTGTATTCTTTTGACATCTGTTACACCTTGTTTTTTTAGGGTGTCATCATTTTTAATTTCTTTCAGTGAGCAGAGTGAGAGTTCTGGGCATTTTATTACTGCCTTAGAGGAGTTAAGAAATTAGTGGGGATAAACCTTTACTTTCCTGTTGTTTATTCAATTGATTTTTTAGTATGTTTTCTGGATCTTTTTTTTTTGTTTTTATTTGAATTAGAAGTGTTATTTATTTTACTTCTATCATAGCTGATATAACCTTTTGTAGCACAAAAGCAATACTTTTGTTATTTTGTCCTTTGCTGGTTCTATGACAATGAAAATTGGAAATTTTTTTTGTTTGTCACTTTCCATTCAGAGTTTTTATACTATCTCTTGGATCATTTCTTCGAGTTTGTCATATAATTTTGTTTTTGTATTCGCCATCTGTGCTCCCCACCCACACTAGAGTTCCTTCTTAAGAGATTCTATTAAGGGGAGGAGGGGGCTAATCCCATTCGCTGATCTGCCAAGACTACACAAAAAGTGTAGTCAGGCTGAAAGTGGCCACGAACACCCACATTCCTCCACCATATCTACTCAAGTATAGTATGGTGTAAGGATTCACAGCCATGTTGTAGCCATTTTCTGTCATTCCAACTTGCCCTTGCCACTATGTGACTAACTAATTGGCTATTCTACCCACCCATCTATCTCAGGTTGGGACCAAAGTGGCGTGTTGTGAAACTCTTGGCCATTTTATACCAGGTCAGGATTCACTGTCACCAGGCATCACAATTCGCCACCCATGACAAACAAGTGGCCTCATTGAGGGGAATTTATATTTTTTGGGAATTGGTTTTTGTATGTGTGCTTTATATATTTCAATTTTTACAGGTATTTTTGTATGGACAGATAGTTTAGGCATACATTTTGTGTAAACAGATAATTTATGGATTACAACTTTTGTTGGTAGTTTAAAAGGTATCTTTCTTTTTTTTTTCTTTTTTTTCCAATAGATTGCTTGAATAGAAAATTTATATTATTTTTCCTGAAGGCATCCTTCTAGGTATAAATGGATAGGTTGTAGGCAAGCTGATGGCTCATAGGTGACATTTCCTCATATTAACAATTAGTTTCTACCATTTTGCTTCCTATACTACACTTGGTTGTAGTTTAATGTCATACCCAGGACGTGTAATGGTAAAATGATTGGGATGATAAATTGGCAAGTTCAAATTCCAACCAAGTTAGTTACAGTCATCTTTGCACAAATACTCTTGGGAAGAGTAAGAATCTATCTTTCCTCACCCCTATGAGTTAAATAGCAGAGTAGACTTTGCTGTTCAGCTTTGGTTCACAACCAATCTAGGAGAAGGACAATGAATCCAAAACCAGTTGGGTATAGGGCCAGCAACTCTATCTTGTAAAAAACCCTACTGGCTACAGAAACCCCAACAACAACACCTAGAATGTTGAGAACCATAACTCCTTGCTCTTCAGTAGAGTTTATAGGACTTGAGTGAATGAGTTCAGCTACTAAATCACTAAACATTCCAACATCTTTTCTCAAAATTCATTTCTTGGCTGTGGAATCATCTAAACAAATGATAATCATTTTTATAATTTAAAGACTTGAAACTGTGGTGGAGTGTGGCAGATCTGCCAGGATAATTATTTTATCAGAAACTTTGGAATTGAAACAAACTGACTTTAGGGTATAAAATAAATAATATATTTTTATTTATTTTGTGTTGAGTAAATCCTTTGATATTCAGTGTAGCAAAATCTTCATTTATTAGACAGACCTTAGTAGCAGTCCTGAGAAAGTCTGCTTTTGCTTAGTAATAAGTAATTTCAATAGTTGAGAAGTCAGAATGAGTAGTTATCTTAGAAATAGGTCAGCGTCAATCTATTTTTCTCAGCCCCAAGTAGGGCAGAAAATGTCAGCAGCTGACTTTTTAACTACTTCACGAATGGCTGGTTTCTTTGGTGATTGCATCTACTGTTCCATGGTTTCTCTTGTGGTCACCTTTCTCTCTAGCTCATGTTACAAGATGAGATCTTGCCCTGCTTCGATAAACGGAAGTTACCATCATGAGTCCCCGACTCGAAATGAAAACTACACGTCACGCATAGGCTCGACGCAGATACTTCGTTTGGGATAACTAAAAAAAAAAAAAAGAATTAAATCAACCAATCGGACCGTCTCTCAGCGATTCAAAAATTGCCTTTTGGAGCCGATAGGCGGTATAAGAACACGGGAAAATCAAAAGGAGGGCACTCAACACCGGAGGCAGAAGGGTCACGTCGCTCGCTCCTGACACACTGGCCCAGCGATTTAAACGAAGCATGTGACTGCTGCTGCTATTGAACTCTCGTCCGACGCCTTTGTCAAAGGGTACCTTTCCTCAACTTTTAAATACGAACTTTTTACTTGTTCTTATTTTCCTCACTAAAAGAGATTATAAAATATATCTACAGTCTTTCTTGTTCTTTCGATTCTGAATTTCATTGTTTTGCAACCAAACGCAGTATTTCGCCCACATTGACTTTACATCGCCCACGTAACTAAATACGGAATATAACATTCAGAACTGTGAGCTTATATCCTTTTGACCAGGCTCTCAGATTCTGACATGAACTTTTGTTTCAGCTACCATCAAGTCTCTTTGGGTTCATTTTTTAACTGGCCAAAATTATTTTATTTTCCAATGTTCCTTTTTCATATTTTTTTTTTTATATAATGGAAGTTATGCATGGAACCTGTCTTATTTTAGTAGATTTATAGTCATAAATAAGTAGGCTCTGGTCCCACAAACTTCTGCCGTTTTGGGGGCGGGTTCAGTCTTTTCTTCTTTTTTATTTAAGGGTTGCCTTCTTATTAGTTTTAAGAGACATAGAGAGGAGAGAGAGAAAATAAAGGATTTTAAAGGAAAGCGCTGATGTCTTATTTTAATTCAAATTCTTTCTTTCTTTTTTTTATATTTTATTTTCATATTTTATTGGGATTCACTACAAAACTCTTCTCTTTTCAAATTTGGTTGTTTAACAATAGTAAAGCAAATAAAATGGATTTCAAATGTAATGAACTCTTATGATAAACATATTAACAATATTGATTAATTCACATTTAAGGAAATATGAATATATTGATCCTTTAGCATTACAAAAACTGTGTCTAAGAGAATGTAAACCAACAGCCAAGAAGAAAGAGAATAAATTACCAAAAGACTTAACTTACGTCTGCATGTTTCATGGGCTCCACAATGATATTTACACCCTCAATAGTAATTACCCATGGTTCACTGTGGATCCGGGTCATCGGAATTTTAAGACTTATCTTCCGAATGGATCCTGCCAGAAGAAAAAGAACATTTAGATATTAATCATTAACGTATTAAAACAAAGATAACAAATTTTGCTCACAATCAGTTGTCAGATTGTATGTACAACAGCCTATGACATAACTAATAGATTTTCTTTTGTATATACTTTGGACGTAGATGTTCTTATTAACACTGATTATTTAAGAATCTATATCATAATCCATTAGCTAAGCATAGAGAAACAGAAAAGTGCTGTACCTTTTCAAGTATGATTAAGAATTATGCACAGTACAAACATCCAAATTCTTTATATATTTAACACTTTCACTGCTGTATTGTTATAGCATTGTTGACTGGCTGTGCTGGCCCATTTTGAGAAAATCAGAAATTGACATTTACTGGAAATTAATGACTACAAAGATGCTGATGGCAATTTCTCATGGATGCTGCCATTTTAGTTTTGATCAGACTCTCTGCAGTACAGACTAAACTCAACAAAACCCTCAACACACAGTATAAAAAAAATAGTGTCTTAAAATAGGCTGTAATTTGTATTACTATATGTCTAAACTGGTTTGGAAATAGTACTAAGTGCTAGTTAGTTCATAACACGTAATAAAGAATGACATTTCACAATGTCTTGAAAATGTATATATTAGGTCAACAGCAGACAATGTAAATTTTGTAAAATCATATAAGCACATCTTGAGCTTGATTATTTAACAATAGTAAATGAATTTGATTTAAAATATGATGAACTCTTATGACAAACACTTTAACAATATTGATTAGTTCAAATTTATGAAAAGTCATGAGTGAAAAAATTACAAAATGAATCAACATTGATAAGTATTAAATACTATATCTAATTCAATAATATATATATATATATATATATATATATATATATATATATATATACACACACACACACACACACACACACACACAGAGACATACATACACAAGAATAAGTGTTCTCAACCCGACCAGTTTTCCAAAATCCATATTCTAATGTTTAGTCTTTAAAATACTGATTTGGTAGTTGGTCAGGCCAAGAACTATTCAGTAACCATTCATCTGTTAATATATAAGTGCTATACTGAAAAGTTTAAACGTTTACTGCAATGGTGATAAAGAATTTAAGAAAATCCAGTTATGAAGAGTTTACCTTTTTTGAGTTGAAGAGGCAAGCCAAATTGATTGAAAACATCTTTCTTTAAAATGAGATCATCAAGTTGAACAGCACCTATATAAATAAAAAGAAGTTTTTTTGTTTTTTTTTTTTATAAGTGTAGCATAAAAAATCCATTTATATTTTATTTATTTACAGCAACATCACCATACATTAGGAAAATATTTATGGCACATGTGTCTCAGAATACATGAACTATAAAACCCTATGTCAACTATCTCTAGATTTCTAGCATGAGTAGCATTCAGTTTCCTCAGGTTGCAATAAGTTCTTTTGTGTTTCATGAGGATGCTTTATTTTAAACTACTTCAAATCCAGAAATCATTTTACACAACTGAGACAGAAAAATAACCTATCATTTCTAACAGCAATAACATAATAAAAAACCTACTATTTAACTAATGAAAATGAACCGATATTACACCAAGAGTTGCTTGAACTATTGAATGCATTGCCTTTATTGTCACAACATTTTTTAGTCTTTTCCAAGTGTACAATTCACAAGGAAAAAGAAGGGTCTCTTTTTTTGGAGAGTGAGAAAATGGAGGAAGACAATATCTATCAGACAGCTGTCTAAGTTAGCATAGTGTGATTTACTTTGCTCAGTGGAGAGGGAATTGTAGATCATCCCACATATAATACAGAATTATCTGTTACATATCTGCTGAGAATGGTATCATCTGGGTGGCTTATGTTGCTAAGAATGAGATAAACCTATTATTATATTAGCTGTCATCTACATTCCCCAATTTTTCTTCTAAGGGTAAAAGAGGCTCCTATCTTTTTTTATGAATTGTACACCTGCAACATGGTAAAAAAAAAAAAAAAAAAGGCAACACAAAGGAATAGACCAAACAACTGAATGATAATGATTCTATTTAAAATTATAGACTGAACTGACATTAACTTAAGAAAAGATAGAATTTTCAAGCATATCCATTTGATAAACTACATAACAATTCATTAATTTTATCTACTTACAATGGGCATATAAAAAAAGATAAAATATACATGCAAATTCTGTCAACTTAAATGTGATTATGACAATGGTAATAGGCTCATTAATTAAAGCAGGTACTTCAACTTCAGTAAATAACCTTTATAATCAAAAGGATGTGTGGGTAGTGTAATGGAGATTGTTGCAGAAAGTAGAATCCAGGCTAATCTGTTGCATTCACTTTCACACAAATGCCCTTGGAAAAGTCATGATTTTTCTCTCAAGCTATGAATTTGTAGTAGTAGGCAAAATTTTTAAAAAATAAATAAAATAAATAAAAAATAATAAAAATAAAAAAGTAAAATAAAAACATTTCTTAAATTTCCTGAACCATGGTGCAGAATGTTGGTTTTTATATTCAAAATGAATAAATGAATGTTAAGCAAACATTGTTTTGGAATGTTTATTTGAATATGAAATGTATCCTTCTTGTGCAACAGAGTAGCTTGCAGTATATTGAAACAGAGAGAAATAGATCGAGTGAGTGAATGAAAATCCACCTTCTTTGTAGCAGGCAGCCATCGTAATTAGTTCTTTTGGTTGCTAGAGCAGTGGATCAGCCTGGCAAAGTATAGAGAGAACTGACCTAAAAGCCCGCTTTTCCTGGGTTTATACTGAGGTTGGTAACTGGTCAAGGAGTACAGTGAATACATGTAGGATTGTCCTTCACTTTAGTAGAGTTTTTTGTTTTGCTTATCCAAGTATCTGGTTTCAGAAACGAAGTTATATGATTAACCTGTCCTTAAGAATACTTGTGTTAATGCTAATGAGGTGTTAAGGAGATGCTAAGTAGGTGATGCTTCTCAGGATTTAAGAAATATTTTTCTATATTAAACTTTGCCTATGACCACAAATTAAATAACAGGGTAGACCGAGCTCTCTAAAAGGAAACTCTAGATTTCAACGTGTGGAGAAGGCAATAGGAAACCACTCCACTCTTTCCCAAGAATACTTAGCAATTCACAGGTAATAAAGTAAAATCTATGCTGAGTCATGATCCCCTACACCCCAAAGGGTCATTCCCATAATACAACAATAAATAAATAAAAAGAATATTAAAAAAAAGATTCAAATTTCTACAATCCATACAATAATTTATCCTTAATTTATTTAAAGTACTCTTCAAAACAATCATATGGGCAATCATTTCTAATAAAGATCAAAAGCAGCCAATAATGAGACAAAAAGCAAAGATAAAAATGTGAAGGAAATTTTTTTTAAAAATGCAAAAAAAAAAAAAAAAAAAATTACTGTGTTGCTTGAACAAAAAGGAGACAATAAGACAAAAAAATAATGCATCATATGTTGAGTTTTTTGTGTGTAGTTGTAATCCAAACTCATCTTGGACTAATGGAAGAATGTTCCTTTGCTTAAAGCAGTGGTTCCCAACCACTGTGCTGCAGCACACTAATGTGCCGTGGAATGATTACTGGTGTGCCGCAAAGAGATAATACCTAGAAGCCATTTAATTTCATTTTGTTTAATAAAGACATTCAATGTCTTAATCAGGATGACACCACTCAATTACATTTAAATAATATTGATTAGGAATCGGAATCATGAAAAATTTAGGTATTATTTTATCACCAGTTTATATCGTCTATATATCTCGTTCACAATATTTACAGATTCTTTGTAGATATTTTTATTAAATATTTAGGCGTTGTAAATTAAAGTTTTAGTAAGACAAACAAAAAACAAATTAAATATAATAAAAATTCTTTTAGATTTATTTTTTTCAATTTTAGATTCAATTTACCCTTAATCATGGACAAGTTTCTGAAAAGAAAAGGCGATGGTGACAAGAATAATTCTACAAAGTCATTTTCAAAAACCAAAAGTTCACCGGTTGCATAGTTATTTTCAACGGTTATTAGAATCAAATGCAAGGCAAAGTCAACTATTTAAAAAAAACAGTAACCGTGTCTGAAAAAGCTCAATTAGCTTCATATGAGGTGGCTGAAATTATAGCTCTTAAATCGAAGTCTCATTTTCTTACAGAATCAGTGATCCTTCCAGCGTGCAAAAAGATGATGAAAATTATGCTTGGTGATAAGGCCAAACAAGAAATTAGCAGGATCCCTCTTTCAAACAATGTAATTCAGTGAAGGATTCTTGGCTTGTCTGATAATATTGAGGAAAGTGTAATATCCAGATTTCAAAATACATCAGTAATCATGCACAGTTAATTGCATTTATACATGTCATTGATGAAGATGCCATAATTAATCAATTTCTATGCTGCAAACAGTTACCCACAACTATGAAAGGTCAAGATATTTTTCATACAATCACAATATGACTCGAAAAATATGGCTTATCCTGGGATTTATGTGTGGGAATATGTACCGATGGAGCACCATCAATGGTTGGTTCTGTAAAAGGTTTTGCATCTTTAGTAGAAAAACAGAATCCTTACATTGTGCGAACTCATTGTTTTTTTTTTTTTACACAGAGAGGTATTAGTTTCAAAGATAGCACAAAGTGAACTAAAAGAGGTGATGAATCAAGTGATTGAAATGGTAAAATTCATAAAAACTCGGCCTTTGAAGTCCTGAATTTTTGAGTTGCTGTGCAAGGATATGAATTCTCATTATGTTCGTTTATTATTGCACACAGAAGCAAGATGGTTATCGAATGGAAATGTGCTATCTTGTGTAATTGAGTTTCAGAAAGAACTTTTTATTTTTTTTTGAAAATAAAAAACTTGATAGATTTTGTAAATACCTTAAAAATGAATTCTGGATGTCTAAAATAGAGTACTTAAATGAGATATTTAGACATCTCAATAGACTGAACAGCAATATGCAAGGTAGAAATGAAAATATTCTTATGGTAACAGATAAATTAGTTGCTTTTAAGAAAAAAGTTGCAATATGGAAGAAAAGAATGAAGGTAGATGATTTGGATATATTTCCCTTAGTTCGCAAAACCTGCTTTACCGAGATGATTTCCATTATTAGTGAGCATTTGACATGTTTAGAAAATAAAATTGAAGATTATTTTCCCTCAATCAGCATTGAAGAATTTGATTGGATTTGCAATCAGTTCCTAGATTTATCAGTCATCAACCTTTTCAATTCTGAGTTATGTGAAGAGGAATAATTAGCAAGCCATTCCAGTGATCGTGGACGCCTTTTGGATTTCTGTTATGGAAGACTATCCAACTCTAAGTAAAAAAGCCATCAAAATCTTACTGCAATTCTCAACTTTGTACCTATGTAAACTGGGATTATCTTACCTAAACAACATTAAAAATAAAAAACGTGAAAGACTTAAAAATATTGAAGAAGAGTTAAGAGTGTGTCTCTCTCACATTCACCCAAATATTGCAGCAGTAGTCAAGAAGCACCAGGCACAACTGTCCCACTGACATTAACCATTATTATTTTATACCCGATATTGAATACAGGATATGTTGATTTATGGGAATAAAAATTCTTCTTATACAATATTCTTTGTTTTTTATTATTTTATTGCAAAAAGGCTTTATGAGTGGAAAAATATTTATTTTTTGTGATAGGTGTGCCACAAAAATTTAAAGAACTCAATAGTGTGCCACCATATAAAAAAGGTTGGGAACCACTGGCTTAAAGGGTAATAAAACAATTAGGATTGGTCAGAGAAAGGGGATGGGATGAAGTCTTTGTTCTTATCTTTTTATGTCCTCATGTGTGTGTGTATATATATATATATATATATGAAAAATTTCTCAGAGTTAACCTCTAGAAAAAGATAATATTTTTAAATATAAAAGACAATAGGAAAACTGTAATATTAGCTGACGTGTTTTGGCCAATGTCGACTTTTTCAAGGTAAAAACAAAATGAATTTATTAAAACAAAGTAACTAATAATAACAAAACAAAACTAATCATACATAGAAATAAATTCAACCACAATTTTGATTTTAAAAATGTTACTCATAAAAAAAAAAAAAAAAAAGAAAATAACTCACTCAGAAGGAAAATCCTCAAGAGTGCCACCATTGGATATTATCCAAATATTAATCTATTTTTTCCCTACATCACCTTTCCTAACAGAATTACGACTCTCCCAAACAAACATACACAATTGTATCAAGAAATCAAAAGAAAATGGTGAAATCCGTTAACACAACAATAAAAACAATATTTCCACACGTGACAGTACTTTTTATCTTGTTATTAATAGTCACTTTGTTTTTTGATAAATTAATTTTGTTTTTGCCTTGAAAAAGTTCACATTGAATGAAATGCATTGGCTAATATTACAGTTTTCCTATTATTTTTTTTATACATTATATATATATATATATATATATATATATATATATATATATATATATATATATATATATATATATATATATATTTTACACACACACACTTTGTATGATGTATGTGTGTGTGTGCACACATGTGGTCTATCTAGTGTGTTTGTTTTTGCCAGTTGATTTTGCATATATATTTGTTCTCCATATATTATATATTATAGATTTCTTTATAAAGAAATCTATACAATAACTACATGTATTTTGAATTGTGGGTTTGGCCCAACTAGTGTGTTTTGCCACTATGTGTATATGGTGTGTGTTTAGGAGAGTGGGGTTATGATTTGGTTAGTGCAGGTTTAAATTTGTCTAAGAATTTTTTTTTCTTGTATTTGTATGTAAGAGTAATCAATTGTCTGTTTGACATATTGGCATAATTTTAAATTTACCATTGTTATATTTGTGGATGTGTTGTGACACAAAGAGGTTTCTGTTGTCTCGTAATTTAATGTTGCTTTTGTGTAGAGAAACTGTTGTTTAGTGCTTGAGTGATACCTATAGAGGATATGTTGCATTTTGTACACCTGAGTGTATAAATCAAATTTTGGGAGTTACAGTTTAAGTTTTTCTTTATAGTGAATGTTGTTGAGGGGTTTTCAAAAGTGTAGGAGTTTCCTTCTATATCACAAACCCCACATCTGTTCTTGTTGCATTTTGTGACCCCTTGTATTGCATGTTGATTAAATTTGGATGAGGTTAATATGTGTTTTAGTTCCAATTGGCGTTTGCATTTAATTATTTTAGTTGTTTTTAGTATATCTTTCATTTTATCGTTCTTGTTAAGTAGGCCAAGATTTCTTGTTATTTCGTTGGTGAATCTGGGATGTAGTATTTCTGGGTGTTTTTCAATTCAGAATGAGATTGCCTGCTCACCTAATTCAGAAGTCGGGGGGTATGTTGCTATATAGTCTACTAATGTCAAAAGTTGCCATAAGTGATCCTGGATCTACTTTTTGTGGTATGGAGCTAAGGAAGTGGATATTGTTTCTGATGTAGTTCTTAATCTGTTTAGTAAATAGTTGTAGTATGTTGTCAATTAGATTACCAAGTCTGCTAGTTGGACAGGCTGGTCCTGCTACTAAAGGTCTGAACGTAAGGTCACTGGGGTTTGGGATGTTAATACATTCAGATTTTTGTGTTTGGATAGCTGCTTTTATTTCACTCGATTTGTGAATTTTCAGTAGTAAAAAATTACTTGTTTTTGGGATGAAGTGGTTTTCTTTTTCTGTTAATATCTTATGTGTTGAGCAGAGTTTTGTAATTTTTGATAGAATATTTTTGTCTATGTTGGTGTCGATTAATTTATAGTTGTTCTTATACCCTAGTGCCTCTAGAATTTTTTATATTATATTTTGTCTATGATCAAATATGGCACTGCCTTTGTCTGCTTCCTTTATAATTATGTTTTTATTTCTTCAGATTCTCTCTAAGGATAGATTTTGTATTTAAGGTTATTGAATGGTTTGAATTTTTCTTGTAGGTCGAGGTTCCAGAGTTTAGCTAATTTGTATTATTATTTTTGTTTTGGAAGAAATTGGATTTATTTTTAACTAATGAGTCATCTGTAATGTTTTTGTTATCATTAAATGTTACTATTAGTCTGAGTTTGCATTCAAATTCTCTAAGGTTTATTTTTAGGTCTGTTATATTGCTTTTTGAGGCAGGGCAGAATTCATAGGCTAATTTTGCCTTTTGTAAGTGCATATGTAGATTGGTTTCCTATCATCAAAACTGGTCTTGTTCGGACTAAGATTTTTAAAAAAATAATGATTTTTTTCTTTCCATACATTCCAGGTTTTCTAAGAGATAACCTCTCTCTACATGTTCTGAGTTTTCTAGACTGAGAATTTCTCTGGGTAAAATTGGGGTTGTTATTTTTAGATGGTTCTGTACAAGGGTGTTTGTTTTTATTATAAAGAGTGTTCCGGGTGTTTCTAGATTTGTTGTTTCTGTATGGAGGTTAAGCAGAGATTTGTGGGGAATTTTGATCATATTTCTTGATATGAGTAGTAGTTGTTAGGTTTGTTTTGTTGTGGTAGTATCTGTGAGTGTTGCTTTTGTTAACGTATGTATGTTTTGTCCTATGTCTGGCTTTGTTATGATATAATGGTATGTAGTAAAGGTTTGTATGTTGTTAAGTGTATTTTGATAATTGTATTTGTTGTGTGAGTGTGTCTGTGTATGGTAGTATGTATTTGGGTTCTTACCTCTTATGTGGTTTTCTCTGTATTGTGTAGTTGTTCTGTGTTGAGTATTATATATATATATATATATATATATAAAACCAGAGAAAGCCAGTATTAAAAGAATTAACCTTAGTAATGCATTGTCTCCTCACAAAATTGATTTTGCATTATCCTCAAAATATTTGTTTTCTATTATCTATAACAAAAAGACCGACCAACCCAGTTCAAGTGAAGTGGAGCTGTTTAAACATTCCTTTTCATTTTTAGATTATGATAAAAGAAAATATAAATGAGCATCTTACCTGCCAACAAGCCGACATAGACACTGTCCCGATTTAAATTCTCCACATACTCCCCAATGTAATTGTTCACCACCCATGCTGCAAGCCTGTTCAACATCTTGAAATCTGAAAAGAATCAATAAAACATCTTTTGAAACAAACATAGAAAAAAAAAAAATGATACTAACAATAGGAATGTACATGTTGGAGACAATATTAAACATACTGGCAATGTTATCCTGGATTTCTTATATATAACCAAATGTACATGAGCTAAAAGATGTTTGATGTAATTAAATATGACAATTTTCCATAAATTGTGATGACAAAGAAGTCAATTTGGGATTTAAGTAGCTTTTCTTCAATCAAACAAAAGAACTTAAAAGAATAAAATTGTTTTTGTTTTGTTTAAAACATTGTTCAACCCTTTTCAGATGCAATTCTAAAGTTGAGTCATTCCATGTCAGAACAAGGGTATGACCATCACACAAAATGGATTTTTTTCAAATTTGGTACACTTAGAGAGATTCATGCTAGAAATTGAATGTTATCTATTTTATACCTCTAGGTCAGAAGATTCCTGAAATATGACCCTTTGACCCTTGCCAAAAGGTGAATTTTGGAAAATAGTCATAAAGTTTAAATATCCTTATCTCAGTTGATGTTTTTTTTCTTGAACAAAGCTAAATTATATACCATTCTAAAATACTTGGATGGATCTAAAAGGTGATCTATTTATTTGTTTGATTGAAGGTCAAATAAGATAATTTGACCTTGACCTTCAAAAAAACTTCTCATTTTTTTTCTTAAACTAGGCAACAAATTTGTCACCTTTAAAATTTTGAGGTTTACTTTTGATTGTAGCCAGAGTTTTAAGAATTTTACCCCATCCTAGGCCCTACTCTGTTTCTTATCTTCATCAACAATCTTCCAGACGCCATAGGCATCTACACGGATGACACTACAATTTACTCCTGCCTCAAAAACAAATCTAGTATCACTGACAAAACTAAGCTGGCCGTTCATCTCGAAAAGGACCTTCAATCGGTTGTGAACTGGGGCAGTAATTGGCTGGTTAACTTTAACGCCTCCAAAACAAAACTGCTCTATTAATCACCACAGAGATCCTTCCCTGCCCCCCATTAGAATGTCTGATGCTCAACTTCCCGAGAGCACCTCTCTGCGGCTGCTTGGTCTCACCTTGTCTACTGACCTGAGATGAAACAAATACATTGAGTCAATTGCTTTGTCCACTGCAAGGAAAGTTGGCTCCCTGTGCCATGCCAGGAAATTTTTCTCCCCAGAATCAATCCTTCAAATCTACAAATCAACCATTCGCTCTTGCATGGAGTATTGCTGCCATATATGGTCTGGAGCCCCTACTGTTTGCCTCGGGGTTCTTGATAACATCCAGAGACTGATATGCAATATAATTGGCTCTGATCTGGCATCTCGTCTGCAGTCGCTCTCTCACAGATGCGTTGTCGCCTCTCTGTCTTTTTTTACAAATACTTTCATGGTAATTGCTCCAATGAGCTGCTTTCACTGGTTCCCAGACTTTGTGTATTCAAGTGTTCTACGAGGCTGGC